CATGGCAGTTAATGGCAGACTGAAATTTACCCTTAAGGCAGATTCTATCGGCCACACACATCAGTTTTTTTTTGTTTGTTTGTTTGTTTTTAAGATTTTATTTATTTGAGAGGCAGAGAGAGAAGGATCTTCTATCCGCTGGTTCACTCTCCAAGTGGCTGCCATGGGCAGAGCTAAGCCCATCCAAGCCAGGAGTTATCAGCTTCCCCCGGGGCTCCCACGTAGATGCAAGGGCTCATGGGCTTAGGCCATCTTCCACTGCTTTCCCAGGCCATAGCAGAGAGCTGGATCAGAAGAGGTGCAGGTGTGACATGGTCTGGTACTCAAATGGGATGCCAACACCAAAGGCAGAGGCTCAGCTTACTGCCACAGTGCTGGCCCCACATATCAGTTTTTAACATTTAATTTGTAGCCCTACTTATATTGGTACCATAAATCAGTCCTCAGGCACATGAGAACAACATACACACAAGCAATGAGGAGAGTAGAGTTTATTTTTTAAAAGTACCTCTTACTGGGGCCTGCATTGTGGTGTAGTGGGTAAAGCCGCTGCCTACAGTGCCAGCATCCCATACGGGCACCAGTTGGAGTCCTGGCTGCTCCATTTCCAATCCAGCTCTCTGCTATGGCCTGGGAAAGCAGTAGAAGATGGCCCAAGTCCTTGGGCCCCTGCATTCACGTTGGAAACCCAGAAGCAGCTCCCGGCTCCTGGCTTCAGATTGGCACAGCTCCAGCCATTGTGAACATCTGGGGATCTCTCTGCCTCTCCTTCTCTGTGTAACTCTGACTTTCAGACTAGATAAATCTTTAAAAAAAAATACCTCTTACTAAGCAAGCTCAGAAATTCAATGACTTGACAGAATCTACTGGCTAGGTAATGCTACATTTAAAAATATAACTGGAATCAACAAATTAACCTATTTCAAGGAATTTGAAACAAGAACCAGAAATGATAGGTCCGAGACTGTGGGGAGCAGGGTCCGTCTCCCGCAACATGGCAGGGCGCCCGGGAGACAAATAAGTACTGAGGCTGTGGACTGAAACTAACTCTGTGCGTCTGATCTCTCACCATATGGCGCTGAGAGGGAGGAAACAAATCTTACACAGCTGCTTCGTCAATTAGCTGATTCCTGATCCAACCTCTGATTGGAGGAGAACAGCGTGCTCAGCGTGTGGAGAGAGAACGCCTGCAGAGCACAGATTGGTGGGAGAGGACTATAAAAGGGGGAGAGAGACAACATGCAGGACCCCCCGAGAGTCAGTCGGAGAGCTCATTGGTGCCGCTCCTCCGCGAAAGCGGGGGAGCAGCGGGGGGCGGGGGCAGCAAATCCGGGAAGGACCGGGGAAAGAAAACAGCATCCGGTGTCATTCCTCCGCGAGTAGGGGAGCGACAAGAGACGATATTGTTAAGCCGCCTCTTGCAACTCCTGATGCTTGTATCCCATATCAGAGTATCAGTTCAAGTCCTGGCTACTCCACTTTCAACCCAACCCCCTGCTAATGTGCTTGGAACGGCAGCAGATAATGGCTGAAGTATTTGAGTCCTTGCTACCGACATGGGAGACCAGGATGGAGTTCCAGGCTCCCCTATCCCTCCTATCCCTCTCCACTTATTCCATCATCCTCCCTTTCCCTAAATCTTTCAAAAAAAGTATAGGTCATCAATGTAATAAAATTCCCTCCCCCATTCTGTACAATGGACCAGCCTCTTGTGAATAACACTGCACAGGAAGCCCCTAATCCCATCAGTCCCAGTTTTGTTTGTGTATCATCCATCCATTGGGGCCTTACTTATTTTGCTGGCATATGTTTTCAATAAAGAGCTACAACAAAAGAAAGCTATAATTGCCAAATCTCTCCCTTTCAGCTATTGAACTAAGGTGATTTGCGGACATGTACAAAACTACAAACAAAGGGGGTTTTTCCAAAGCCCACTCACAGAACTCAGTGTTCAGGAATGTGTTAGAATAAATAAGTTTTCTTGTGGCCAAGACCTGGGGCCTGGTCTCCATGTGGATTTTCTGTGTCAGAGCCAGGTAGTATTACTTCCCTGCGGTCCGAGTGCTTAGGCAGGAGAGAAATCACAGCATTGCCCACAGTCAGAGGGGACTCTAATCAAATACAAGTATCTATCTCCTGTGCGTGGCTCGGACTCCATCGCCCAGCAACTGATCCCTGGGTTTGTGAATTTTCAGCTGGGACACAAACCGGTGCCCATATGAGATGCTGGCATCATAAGCAGAGGCTTTAACTGGCTGCGCTACATTGCCCACCCTAATAGCCTTATAGATGAGAAAGTTGAATGTCTGAAAGGGTAGGAAGTTACTCCAAATAACACCACTAGCAAAGAACATTGACGGGCATCAGATCTAGGCTGGTCACCGAAACTGCCACATACCTACCACTACTATCAGGTACTACACTGACTCCCATCCACTACCTGCTCACCAAGTCATTTTCCTTAGAAACCACTAACCACACACATACTACAGAAGGAGGTGACGAGTTTTATCATAGTCTTTGTCATCGGGAGTTCCTCCTCTCCCCACCCCTCTGGCCTCCAAAGATGCTCCTTGCTTCATATGACTTACAAATTCTACATTCTCCCACAACACAAACATGCTGGGTGAGGCCATCTTCTCGCGAGTACCAGGTGTGGGTGATGGTCAATACCAGTGAGCAGGAGGTGAGCTTGCCTTACTCCACCCCCGGGAGTCCCACCCTCTTCCTGACCAAGAATCAAGCCCACCCAAGTACTTCCGCAACCCTCCGTAAAGTTCATGTATGCAAAGGTCTCTGCTTAAGAAGTGAAGTGTTGCTATGAAGTAATTCTACTTTAAAAAAAAAAAAACACCTTAGCAATTATCAGTTTCAGTAAATGCAAAATAACCAGCGTTACAGTTTCATGTAAAAGCAAAGAACCCTATGTTTTCGATAGTTAGTGCAGTCTAGTTGCAGCTAAATGTGCATTTTCCTTTAAATTTTGACAGGCAGAGTTAGAGAGAGACAGAGAGAAAGGTCTTCCTTCCATTGGTTCACCCCTCAAATGGCCACTACGATCTGAAGCCAGGAGCCAGGTGCTTCTCCTGGTCTCCCATGCGGGTGCAGGGCCCAAGCACTTGGGCCATCTTCCACTGCTTTCCTGGGCCACAGCAGAGAGCTGGACTAGAAGAGGGGCAAATTTAGACCAAAATACAAAAGATTAACATAGAAAGTAAATGTATGATTCTTTTCAAAACGTGAATCACAGAAGCATAATAAATTGCACACACACAGGAAAAAAAATAGGGGGGCTGGCAGTGTAGCCCAATGGGTTAAGCCACCACTTAGAATGCCACCCACTGGCAACCCATATTGGAATGCGTGCTTTGAGTCCCGGCTTCTCCACTTGCTTGCATCGGATCCAGCTCCTTGCTATTGCCCCTGGGAAAAAAAGCAGGGGATGGTTCAAGTCCAATGGATTTCCAAGTTCTTGGCTTTGGCCTAGCCCAGCCCCAGCCACTATGGGCATTTAGGGAGTGAACCAGCAGATGAAAGATCTGTCTCTCCTCTCTGTCACTCTGCCTTTCAAATAAATGAATCTTTTTAAAGAGAGACAATAAAGACAGGCAATTTGCCTCGTAGTTAAGACGTGGGTTGACATCAGTGACACACATTGAACTATGTGTATGCAATATTCAGCTATGGTTCCAGTTTTCTGCAAATGTAGACCTTGGGAGGTAACAATATCTCAAGTAATTGGGTAACTGATCTTGACTGATTTCCAGCTGAGTATCAGCCTGGCCCAGTCTCAGCTGTTGCAGGCATTTGGAGGAGTGATTCTGCAGATGGGAGCTCACTCTCTCAAAGAAATTTAAAAAATCGAATAGTGAAATGCTTAGTTTAGGGTGTGAAGTTCTGCAAATAATAGGAACCTCAAAAATAATACACATGCAGTTGTGTTTTAGTCACAAAACATTATAGAATAAAGTCAAACAGCAGGCTTATTAGTGCAGTGTTTCCAAAACTTTGCTGCATTTAGAGAGCTTTAAAAAAAAAAAAAATCCAATCCCCAGGCTGCACCCCCTACCCCTCATCAATTAAATCTGAATCTAAGGGAAAAGAGGTGGGGTCCAGGCTTTTATAGTTTTAAAGCTCCCCAGGGAATTCTTTAATGTGCTGCCAAAGCTAAGAACCTCTGCATTGAAGAGCACGGACCCTGGCCTTTGGAAGCTCTTACAAAATCTACTTCCTGGACAGTTTCCTTTCCTCAATCCTGCCAATAGCTTTTTTTCCCTTTTTAAAAAAGATTTATTTGTTTGCTTAAAAGGCTAAGTGACAGAGGGAGTAATCTTCCACCTACTGGTTCTCTCCCTAAGTGCCTGCTTTAGTTGAGGCTAGGACAGGTGGTAGCCAGGAGCCAGAACTCCATCTGGGTCACACATGTGGGTGGCAGAGACACAAGTTCTGGGGCCATCATCTGCCGCCTTGGTGCGTTAGGAGGAAACCAGATTGGAGGCAGAGCCAGGACTCAAATTGGCACTCAGACATGGGATGCAGGTTTCCCAAGTGATGGCTTAACCCACTGTGATACAAGGCCTGCCCCTCCAGGAAATTCTGCTTTTTAAGATTGAGTGAGTGATCTGAAAGGCAGCAGGATGGGAGGGAAGGAGAGGTGGGGGGAGTGTAGGGGATCTTCTATCCACCGGTTCACTCCACAAATGCCTCTAACAGCCAGGTCTGGGCCATACCAAAGCCTAGGCCAGGAGCTCCACCTGGGTCTCCCAAATGGATGGCAGTAGTAGTCCAAGCACTTGGGCCATCATCTGCTGCCTTTCAGGATGCATTAACAGGAAACCGGACTGGAAGCAGAGGAGCCAGGATTCAAACTGACACTTTAATATGACAGTCCCTAGTGGTGGCTTACCCCACTAAGCCAGAATGCCTATCCCTGCCAATAACATCTTTAAAGCTGTAATCTAGAATTTTTAAAATTACAGAGATTCACATAGACACATATATAAAATACATGCACACACATTTTTATTTGACTTAGACCCTGATTGTTAGTATATAAATCAGAAAAAAAGTACATATCCTCTCCAAATCTCTTAAAAAAAAAAACCCACACATCAAAGATATTTAAGTCACAAAACACACACACACACACACAAACTTTAATCACCTGCAAGAACCATGATCCAATAATATATTTAATAGGCAAGATTTCATTCATCAATATACAAAAAAAGAAAACCCAAAACAAACAAAAAACCCCACCAAAGTTTGATTAAGACATGTGCCCTTAGCAAGAGCACTTACAGTTAGAAAGGTTTATTGGTAGCACTTTGAGGTAGCATATTGTGTAAAGGAACAGAAGTCACAGAGCTGCTCTGTAGTTTGTCCTGGACACAAAGGCACAGCCCGTCGGCCTGTGCCCTTGGCAGAGGAAAGTGAATTTGTACTCATTGTCAACGTCAGTCAAAACACACTTCCTATCCATGCCCCTTGGTCATTCCTCCACTGCACTTGCTGCACTGGGAGTTTATAAAAATGGGAAGGCATCTGTGTGCTTCTTTCCTCTTGGTGTGGCCAACATTCCAGGCTGTGCAGCCAGTCTCCCTCTGTCACATGCACTCCCTACTGACAGAAGACACTCACACCCAGTGGAAAGGGAAATCGGGGGTCACGGTGCCCCTTCTAATTCACTTCAGTAATCTAATTAATTAAGAGTGACTCACTCCTATAAGGCTATAATGAAGTTCATTTCTGAATATCCCCTCCACGATTCTGGTCCTTAAAGGGTTCTCCTCTCCCCCTCCTACCCCTAGGTACAATCATTCTGGGGTATCCTTAAGTTTTCTGAGTTTTCCCTGGTAGGATGGTGAGCAGAAAAGCTTTAACACAACAACAAACCCAGGTGCAAGAGCAACACCAAGAACAGACTTCTTTTGTGCAAGTTGAAACAATCCAAGTTTACAGTTGAGAAAAATGGCCTGCTTCTTTAAAACAACAACAAAAAAAAAGTAAATATTGAGCTCAGTTCTGTAATTTAAACACAAATATACAGTCAAAACAGGCTAAGGATTAAAGCTGCAAAAACGGTCCTAACAACCTCAGACCTCGATGCAGGTCAAGTTTTTGCCCCACGGTCACTGATTGGAGGGATTTCTAATCCCTAAAAGCCCTTTTGCCCCCTAATACTTCCTGTGTGAAAGCTGAACCCTTAGAAAGAGTTGATATACAATATACAGATGAGTTAACAATAGCACATGTGTCTGGGCAAAAAAAAGGGCACAAGCTTGGCCTGGGTTGCCACTCAAACCTCTGTTATTCGGTGTCACAGAAAATCCTCAAAGGTTGCCCAAAAGCAGGGCCCCAGGCACTAGGAACATGCCTGGCACCCAGGTCAACTGCCACACGACGTAACTGAGCATCAGTTAGACTTCAAGTATCCAAGGTGCTACAATAGCTGGTCCTCTAAAGAGCTCAGGCTGCCTCTCAGAAGCCCCCACCAGACCCCACCACACCACACATTATACAAAAAGCACAGCACTGCTACGGTCATTACCAAACACTAGGGCAGCAGGTGAGGAATAAGAGACGCGCACTCCAAATACACCAGCCTGACAAACACAAATAGATTCTTTAACATTTCCTACAACTAGAAGGTGCGTGAGCCGGTTTTCAAGCAATCCCTTTAAACTCTTTTCTTTTCTCCCCTTTCTCTATCAAACAAGAAAAATGGTTCTGTTCGGTTAACAGTGTCATTTTAAAATGCCATAAATTAAATAAGTTAGTTCACATTTTCTTTTTCCCAGCACTTAAGTTATAGTTAGTCTCTAATGTGCTTTTGAAGCTTGTTTTAACAGTTCCAGGTCTCTTCTGCGGACTGGGCCGGTTCTGGAACAGCCATAGTCACTCAGTTGCAATGGTACAAATTGTTCAAGCACCCCAAGACCCTGCCCAGCAGGACTGGTAAATAGCTTAGTCCATGATGGTTTAAAGTTTCCACTGAATCCCAAGAATATGGTACTCCCTGAAAAAGAAAAAAAAAATGAATTTGAATAGCCTAGTTCCAATAACACAGGAGGTGAGCAAATCAAAGATAGTTATTAAAAACACACACACACACCAAAAGCAAAAAACAAACCTACGCTTCTTATGTCAGCAAATGAACTCTTCCCACCCACCTCTTGTCCCAAATAACAAAACACATCCTGACACATTTCCTCCAACAGTGTTCCTTATTTAGAAATAAGTTTACTGAGGCCCACTCCAGGAACACAAGCTCATGAACACAGCCGGGTAGCTAAATTCCACCATAAGAATGCATGTGTTGCTGGTCTCACAGGAACTTCACAGAATAATACAAACCTTTGTTGTAAAGATGAGCTGGTTTGGCTAATCCGAGAGGTACTAATAAATCTGAAATATTCAACTGCTTTATTTCTCCTCTTGTGCTCAACAGAACAATGGACCTATGCACAAAAGGAAATCAGAGTTAGTTCAACTCGCATGGACTTACCGAGCACATTTCTGAACTGACTGGTACAAAGATAAAAGAACAGCATTAGCTGCAGAAGGATGCTTTTCCACCTCTGCTGTTACAAGTTCCCACTCTCCTCACTCTCCTGCTGGACCTGCAACTTGCCTGCTGCTAATACGAGGGATAATACGTGGGGAAAGCAAACGCCGTTTAGGTAGAAGTGCTCTGGGACATCATTTAGGGCATAACCGATTGCAACAAAGGAAGAGGATTTTTTGGTTTCGGGTGCTCTATTCACCTATGTTTGTTCTATCATCTCTTTAAGGCGATGGGTAAATGCCAATTCTTTATCTCTTTAAGTTCTATTATCTTTTAAGTCGATGGGTAAATGCCAATTCAAAAATTTGCTCTCCATAGTCTAAATGGCTATCCTCTTCATCAGTAAATCAATAAACATCCTGAGGTCTCTTGGTGGAAGACAATTCTCTAGTCTCTCCTTTTCATCTCTTTCTCTCCCCCCTCTCTCAACACCATGCTGGCTTAATTACTATAGCTTCATGGTTTATTTTAATTTATGATAAAACCAGCCCCTTGTAATACGGTAATTTGTTAGATATTTTACTGCTGTCTTACATTTATTCTTTCATATGAACTTCAGTATCGTCAAGTATGATAGAAAAGTTACCTATTTACCCTTACTAACTGAAGTGTGTTAAATTTATATTTTAGTTAGGTAATTTTTACATCCAGACACTGAGAATCTCTTCTTATATTCAATGCTTGTTATATAACCATTGGTAATGCATGTACTTTCTCAATGTGGGTCTTGACATGTCTTAAGATTAACCTTAAGATTCCTACATATTTTTATCAGCTTTGGTTCTTGGGTATAAATTTTTTTTTTTTTTTTTGCAGAGGTGACACCATTCAGAATCCTTGCAGAGGACTAACCACAGCTGCCCTGGAGACCCAACATTCTTCAAGCTGCTTAACAACTTATGGTACAACAGACATACAGAAAAGCATCCCTAAATGTCTGGAACATTTGGATTTCCACAAACTAAACACTCTGGTGTAACAAACAAGCACCCAGATCAAGAAATGACTTTCCAGGCCGGCGCCGCGGCTCACTAGGCTAATCCTCCGCCTTGCGGCGCCGGCACGCCGGGTTCTAGTCCCGGTCGGGGCGCCGTATTCTGTCCTGGTTGCCCCTCTTCCAGGCCAGCTCTCTGCTGTGGCCAGGGAGTGCAGTGGAGGATGGCCCAAGTGCTTGGGCCCTGCACCCCAAGGGAGACCAGGATAAGCACCTGGCTCCTGCCATCGGATCAGCGCGGTGCGCCGGCCGCAGCGCGCCAGCCGTGGCGGCCATTGGAGGGTGAACCAACGGCAAAAGGAAGACCTTTCTCTCTGTCTCTCTCTCTCACTGTCCACTCTGCCTGTTTAAAAAAAAAAAAAAAGAAATGACTTTCCAGTGTCTCAAAAGCCTCTCCTATATCTCTTTTCTATGAACTATCCAGTGACTTTCCCATGAGTTGGTTTAAACTCTTCAATCTCTAAGGTGCCCTGCAGGACTCCCATGATATCCTATACACTTGTAGTGAGATTTCCATTGTGGATTGCTTCAGGGAAGGTGAGAGTACACGTGTTTTCAACATTAGAAAAAACTTATAGATCCTTCAGGAATACTGAGTTCTCAGAAAGTTATCTGCTATAATTGTCTTAAGCCAATTCTTCCTTGAATGGTTTTACTTAATGGCTACGTCAAAGTCAAGGAGAAGAAAGAACTCCAGAAATTCATCTTCTTTCCTCCAGGTGGGATCTAACTCAGAAAAAGATTCTTTCTTGTGCATCTTTCTTCAGAAATCAACAAAGAAAAACCAATCAGACCAGTGATTTCAAAAGAGAGACCAACCACTCAAGCACTTAAAAATCAGTTACTCTTTTCCAGTCACTTCCAAGTGCGTGAGTGATGACTTCCGAGATCACTGTCATAGCACAAAGCTTTCTGAGGGTTCATATGTGGTATAGATAAAGCTGCCAAGAAAAAAACTGCCCAGAAATTTACTTCAAAATGGTACTTAGTGTCTTGAACAGGTTGGGTACAAAGTAGATCAACTTAGTACAAAAAGCTGGGATAGTAATGTTCCAAGTAAGCTTTTCTCTGTCTAGGAGCCTTCTCACTAAATGCAAAATTTCTAACCTCCACGTTTTGCCACTGAGACACAATGGCCTGTTTTTTTTTTTTGTTTGTTTGTTTTTGTTTTGTTTTGTTTTGACAGGCAGAGTGGATAGTGAGAGAAAGAGACAGAGAGAAAGGTCTTCCTTTTGCCGTTGGTTCACCCTCCAATGGCCGCCATGGCCGGCGCACCGTGCCGATCTGAAGCCAGGAGCCAGGCGCTTCTCCTGGTCTCCCTTGGGGTGCAGGGCCCAAGTACTTGGGCCATCCTCCAGTGCACTCCCGGGCCACAGCAGAGAGCTGGCCTGGAACAGGGGCAAATGGGACAGAATCCGGCACCCCAACCAGGACTAGAACTCGGTGTGCTGGCGCCGCTAGGTGGAGGATTAGCCTAGTGAGCCGCAGCACCGGCCACAATGGCCTGTTAATAAGCAACCTGGACCACATCAGCATCCATGTGAGCTGGGAAAAGCTGATGACTTTCCACAGAGCCCTGAATGCTTATGGAGTGAACAACCATGGCCGCAAACCAAGCTCAGAGTTCATCAGGCGTTGTCTTCTTGGGAGGAAATCACATCTGTAAGGTGGCTTGTTCCTACGACAGAGCAGGCTTCACCTACCTTGGAGGGATGCCTGTTTTCAAGTACTCTTCCACGCGGCTGATTTCAGCAAGCAGGAACAGCTTCTTCTCCATCAGCCGGAAGGGAACGCTGCACGCATCCACAACAAGAAGGAAGACACCTGCGCTTCGGAAGGGAAAGTCGGTGCCATTGACCTGCGAATACAAAAATGTCTTCAGACGCCATCCCCATTTCAGTAACATCTCCAGGACAACTTCTGTTTCCAATCCCTTCCCTCTGTCTTCTAAACCTCTGATTCAAATTACAGGCATGTGTCATTCAACAGGGAGAAGTTCTGACAAACATGTTGCTAGGCAGTTTTGCTGCTGTATGAACACCACTGACTGTACTCACACACTCAAAGGTGGCTATGTCGTCACTGGACAATATCATCTTAAGGGAGAACTGTCATATATATAGCCTCTCACTGGTCAAAAAATTCATCATCTGCTACGTGACTGTACGTGAGGAGTCATTACAGTTCATGGAAAAGAGTATAATGAAAAAACTGCACATTTTGTTTTTGTACCACTATAAATTTATCTTTTAATTCAATTTTTTACATGAACTTTTTTTTTGTGAAGAGAGGTAGAGTTACAGACAGAATACATACAGAGAGAAAGGTATTCCTTCTGCCGGTTCATTCCCCAAATGGCCAAAATGGTCAGAACTGAGTTGATCCAAAGCCAGGATCCAGGAACTTCCTCAGGGTCTCCCACATGGATGAAAGGACCCAAGCACTTGGGCCATCCTCCACTGCTCTCCCAGGCCATAATTAAAAAGCTGGATTGAAGAGGAACAACTGGGACATGAACCAGTGCCCAAAGGGATGCTGGTGCCGACGTGGAGGCTTAGCCTACTACGCCACAGTGCCAGCCTCCCTACGTGAACTTTTTGAAGTACCCTCACGTACCATGATGTGACCTATAGAATCCCCCACCCTCCAACTAGAGTTCAGGTTTGGAATATCATAGATAGTCAATTGCTTCATCTTCTGTGCTCCAAATATAGTTCTCCTGTGACATCAAAATGGCAAAGTGATAACTTCACCAGGATTTAAGTTACAAGAGGTAAGCAGGCACATTTGGTTTCAGAATCATTGTATCCTGAATTCCCATAGTTGTCCTCTTAAAAAAAAAAAAAAAAAAGATGTGTTCATTTATTTAAGAGGCAGAGTTACAGAAACAGAAAGGGAGAGAGTTACAGGAAGAGAAAAGTAGAGACACAGAGAGAGGTCTTCCATCTGGTGGTTCACTCCCCAAATGGCCTCATCGGCTGGACCTGGGCTGATTCGAAGCCAGGAGCCAAGGAGCTTCTTCCAGATCTCCCACATGTATGCAGGGGCCCAAGGACTTGGGCCATCTTCTACTGCTTCCCCAGCCATTACTAGAGAGCTAGATCAGAAGAGGAGCAACAAGGACATGAACCGACACCCTCATGGGATGCCGGCACTGCAGGCAGAGGCTTAACCTACTATGCCACAGCACCAACGCACCATCTTTGAATTGATGGTTTGTGACCTCTTCAAGAAAGACACTTCCAAATATCATTAATTCCTCAGCCAAAAAGGACAAATCAATTGGGTACACATTAACTTAACCCATAGGCACTGTTTCTAAGGTGTAAAATTCTAAATTACACTAAAGGCTACCAAAGACGTGTTTTCACCACTACACCTGTTCTTTAATATTGTTTTCTAATCACTATTGATTTCAGCAGAACTCAAAATAGCTTTTGACCTACATTTGCATTGCTCTAATCCAGGAATATTCCTGGAAACGCTTGAGATAAATTTTATATGGAGAAAGACTAGAAACAATTCCTCTATTTTTAAAGGGCTAGATACTAAAAAATGGGACTTGCGTTGTGGCACAGCAGGTTAAGCTGCCACTCACAATGCTATAGGAACATGGGTTCCAGTCGCAGCTGCTAGGCTCCCTGCTAACATGCCTAGGAAAGCAGAGGAAGATGACCCAAGTGCTTGAGCCCCTGCCAACCACATGGGGGTTTTGGATGGAATTCCAGGCTTCTGCCTTGTGCCTGGTCCAGCCCTGGCTGTTGTGGCCATCTGGGGAGTGAACCAGCAGATAGAAGATCTCTTTTTCTCTGTAACCCTGCCTTTCAAATAAATAAATATTTTTTTAAAAAATGATGGCTAACACACTCAGAGGTACTCATCAAAGTACTGCCAAACCTGTTGTTTCAAAGAAACTTCCCAATAACAATTAAAGGATTGCCATGTCCTAGGAAAGAAGTTGCAGGCAATGCATAGGAAAGCACTGGAGATAAATATGACAAACACCACGCCTCAGACTTTCCTCTGGTCCAGGCACTCTATATGCAGCAAGGGAGTCCAACAATGTCTCAGTCCCTAGGGTATAGCCTGCTAGAGGTCTTTTTTTTTTTTTTTTTTTTAACAATATCTTATTTAATCATCTAGAAAGGGGCTGGCATTTGGTACAGCAGTTAAGATGCATTCGGGACACCAGCATCCCATATTTGAGTGCTGGGGATCAGATCCTGGCTTAGCATCTAATTGCAGCTTCCTGCTGATGTGCACCTTGGAGGCAGAAGGTGATGGCTCACAAACGTGGGTCCCAGCTCCTCATGACGGATATCAGATAAGGCTCCCAGATCCCTGCTTCAGCTTCACCCAACCCTGACTGTTGTGGGCATGTGGAGAGTGAGCCAGTTGATGAAATATCTGTCTCTGGCTCTCTGCCTTCCAAAGAAAGTAAAAATAAACAAACAATGCTTAAAAATTATCCAGTGAGCTAGAAGAGTGGGGGGACTCAGCACATGGTCCCTCACTGGCTCCCCCAGCCCGACCTCACACTAACAGGCAGAGGGGTGGACATCAGGTTCTTCACAGCTGACAGATTCAGCCCATAAAATTCTCCCACGAGCCCACTGCAAACAGAGTATAACAGATATACACACCAATAGGCTTCAGGGCACTTTATGCTACGTGTAAGCAGAGATATTCTTTAAGTTCTGGAGCTAGATGGTGGAGATGGCTGTACAATATGAATGTCCTTCATAGCCCTGAACAGCACACTTATAAATTATTAAAATAGTATACGTTATGTCTATTTTACTAACAACAAAAAAAAATTGAGGGGCCGGCAGAGGCTAAGCTGCCACTTGCAATGCCAGCATCCAGTAACAGAATGCTGGCTCCAGTCCTGGCTACTCTACTTGTGATCCAGTGGACACAGTGCTAACACACCTGGGAAGGCAGCAGATAATGGCCCAAGTGCTTGGGCCCCTGCCACCCACATGGGAGATCTGGATGGAGCTCCAGGCTGTTTTGTGATCTCATGGAGAGTATACCAATGGATAGAAGACCTCCCTCCCTCTCTCTGTCACTTTTCCTTTCAAATAATTAAATAAATCCATCTTTAAAAGAAATTTGAAAGAAGGGGAAAAAAAGTAAAATTTAACTTTGTCAACATATAAATGGACCTACAATAGCTGGACAGGTGGACATCAGTCACCCAAAGGAGATCTTCAGCTTGTGGCACCCAGGTCAACCTGACCTACAGGCCACATGCCAAGACCTGGTTCCCAGTGGCTAACTTGGGTTGAAGCCCACATTCCAGAGTTGACACTGTGATTCGTGGCTACACTTCCATTAACCCACTTAGAAAAGACAACTAACACTTCAAGCCCCCATCTTCCTCATCTGAAATAAATAAGAGTTAGGCAATCTTCAAATACAAGACCAAAGAGATTTTAAAATCTTCCTTGTCCATATCTGTAACAACTTAAGAGCTTATTATAAGTTCTAAAACCCAAGGTGATACACAATTTTCTATATACTGAATGTGTATGGCAAATTATTTCTCAACCGAAAATAACTTTCCTCTTTTAGAAATGAAATCAGAGGCACCTGCAACAGTCCTAGGCAATGAAACACAATTTGGCCAAATTCTAACACCAGCCTAAAAGTAATCAGTAAACACAATCTGCTCAGAAAGAAAAAGTTACCAATAATTTGGTTAAAAGTATTATTGTTGAGGTATTTATGTCTCTATTATATTTCCTGCCACAAATAATCAAAATATGATTACAAACCAGTGACTACCAGCAGAGGTAATTCATGTCTCCAGGGTGAAAGATGTAAGAAAATGAGGTAACCTGCTGCAGTTGAAATGTGTGTTCCCCCCAAAACTTAACATGTTGAAATCCTAATTCCCGAGGTGTTGGTATTAGGCAGTGAGGCCTTAGGAAACTGATTAGGTCTAAAGATTAAGGACCTAATAAAGCAGGCCCAAGAGAGTCCTTTTGAACTTTCCAAGCGTGAGTCCACAGTCAAAGGCACACAGAAGAACAAGTGAGCCCTCACCGACACCAACCTGCTAGTGCCTTGATCTTGGACTTCTCAGCCTGCAGAACTATAGGAAATCAAGTTCTGTTGTCTGTGAGCTCCCTACTCCATGGTATTTGGTTATAGCAGCCCAGGCAGAATAAGGCAACACAGGATGGTACTTACAGAGATAACAGAAGGGTCTCCACGCTGCGTTTCTGCTTTACCAGGTGACTGGAACTGCACGGGGAGGTAGCTCTTATGAGGGTCACTAGTAAACACCACCTAGACGGGGAAGAGTTCCAGATTTATGGCACCTGCAGCTTCCTCCCCAAAGGTTCCTCCCAAATGAACTCACTGGTAGCAAAGCCAGTCGGTGTTGTTCTGAATTTTTTGGTACACATTTCATGACCTGGAGTTCCATCTCTGAATAAACTTAATACAGGAAATGCATTGTTCCCCATTTTCTAGAACAATTCTAGTATCAAATAAGTGTAAGCTTATTTATAAAATCAATTCAATAAATGACTATATAAATGTGCTTTGTATTTAAATCTTTGTGAATACTTTATGCAAAAACACGCGCAAATATTTTTAAAAGATCTTTCTCTGCCAATTACCTTAAGTTGGGGATTAGTCACTCCAGGACTGAGGAAAGAATTGTAGATCAAAGGAACCACCCTGATTAAAAACTGTGAGTGGCCTTGGACATGACCAGGTCTCACCTCCTCTCTGTGGCCTACAAAGTGCTCCATAAATGAAGCCAGGCCTTATCTGCGGGACCTGCTTTCTCTGTTCTTTCACAGCCAGCAGGCAGGACCAGAGCCTCACTTTGCCACCAGCAAGTCACCTTTCCTGCCACTTCCCCTTTGCTGATGCTGTTCCCTCCTTAAGAACACCTTTCCCTTTGCTCCTCTACTTCTCTGAATTACTTCCAGGGTCCCAAGGCCACGTCTTTTGTCCCACTCCTTTTGCCCTCAATGTTCTCCTTTAGTTCAGAAGCACCCTTGACTCTCACACAATGTAGCACTTAGAAGACCCTGTCCTTAAACGTAGACGTCAAGAACTTCATTCCAAGAACAAGTAGTCATCATGATACTAAGCAGCATTCAGGAGCTGAACGTTTTCTTGAAGTCTCAGGTTTTGGAGTTAAAAATTCATTGAATTTCCCTAGTTGCTCTTACATGGGTTTGACTGCGGCATGCAAGACAAAAATTCCCCCCAAATTTCCAAGTGAAAGTGATGCTCCCGGGTGCTTCATCTATTTTGCAACTGTGCAAAGGCAATAATTGACACATTTTACCAAATGAATTCCAATCAGTGTTTCACACAGAAGGGAATAATGCTAAATGTTACTGCATGGAACCATTAAATTAGATAGACCTCGATTGTTTTCAATACTTATTTTTAAAATTATAATATTTGCTATAACTATATAGCTTTTCAGTAGTGAAAACAAATCCAGTGAGCATTAGCCTGGATTTATTTCCCCACAAGGGTTATTTCAAAATACTACATGTGCCAAGCAAGGACCTCTTTGTGTCCATGGGGCTGATTTGTTGGTTTGCTTTTGGATTTTACTTGTGTGGGAGAATCGAGGTGGCACAAGAAGCCGAGAGTGAGATGGTGATCTTCAATCACCATGAAGGGACAGCCTAGCGGTCCAGATGTTGTGGATTTGATACCCGGCTCCAGCTCCTGACTCCATCCTCCTATTACCGCAGACCACAGAAAGCAGTAGTGATGGCTCGTCACTGGGTTCCTGCCTCCCACATGGGAGAACTGGATTGAGTTTCAACCAAACCCAGGCCAGGCAAGTGCCAGCCATTGTGGGAATCTGGGGAATGAACAAGTGATTAGGTGCTCCCTCTGTCTAGCTTCCTCTCTCTGCTTCTCAAATAATTAAAATTTTTAAAAAATACATATTATACTCTCAGGTATCCTAATAGGAAGAACAAAATCATCTTTTTTTTAAGATTTATTTATTTATTTATTTGAAAGGCAGAGTTACAGACAGTGAGAGGGAGAGACAGAGAGAAAGGTCTTCTATCCCCTGGTTCACTCCTCAAATGGCCACCATGGCTGGAGGTAGGCCAACCTGAAGCGAGGAGCCAGGAGCCTGGAGCTTCTTCTGGGTTTCCCAAGTGGGTGCAGGGGCCTAAGGACTTGGGTCATCTTTCAGTGCTTTCCAAGGCCATACCAGAGAGCTAGATCAGAAATGGAGCAGCCAGGACTTGAACCAGGGCCCAGGCAGCGGCTTTACTTGCTAAGCCACAGCCCTGGCCCCAACAAATCCATCTTTATCTCCCTATTCTTATTGTTACTACTTGTCAGAAACAAGTGAAAAGCAAAACAAAAGAAAAAAAGACCAGGGAAATAAAGAACTTAGGCCGAAAAAATTTTGTTTCTGCAAATTATTTAGGATGTTAAAAAATAGACAGAAAAACTTGGGATTTTTTCATAACAATAAGTATACATTTTGTGACCATTCTTTCTTTTCAGAAATACCATCAGTGGAACTCAGATGTGAATGTGTATCAGGATCACCTGAGAGTCTGTTACAGCAGAGACTGCTGGGGGGCCAGCATTGCGGTGCAGCAGGTTCAACTGTTGCTTGCTGGCTATGCCATCTGAGTGCTGGTTCCAGCTCCCTGCTAATGCACCGAGGAAAAATGTGGATGATGGCCAAAGTACTTGGACCCCTGACGCCCACATGGGAGACCAAGATGGAGCTCCTGGCTCCTGGCTTCCGCCTGGCCCAGCCCCAGCTGTTGCAGTCATTTGGGGAGTATGAACCAGCAGATAGACGATCTCTCTGTCTTTCCCCCTCTCTGTCACTCTGCCTTTCAAATAAATAAATAAATAAATAAATAAATAAATATCTTTTTAAAAAGTTTAAAGATGAATCAGGGAAGTCTTAGCTTTACACTTCTTTTTCACTTAGAACTGGTCTGATGCCCTTTGGAACTCTATTTGTATGTGTGATGTCAGCTCTTCCTTTGGGTTTAACTCCATTGCCATGCTCTCCAAGATCCAGAAAGAGATCATCTAATAAAGAATATACTGGGAGAGGCATTCCACTTTTAATCAAGGTCAGCCTGTACTTTTAATTACAGATGAATATAAAAGCCCATCCTTCACAATCAGGAGTGGTTTCCACCTTAAACAAGGGAAGCAATGTTTGTCTTAGCTGCATTTTTTGCTAAGAACTTTTGCACTGCCAGTGATACAAAGCACTTTTCTCACGTTGCTTTTTGACATGCAACCCCAACACCAATGCTCGTACTACAACCAGACACCTGAGGAAGGAAAAACGACAATCACCACAGCAACCTCCAAATTCAAATCCCATCAAACTGGCAGCCATGCAAGGGAAGTGGATGCCTCACATGGGAAAGTATTTCTGCTCCCAGTTCAGACTAGTTTGCTTATCACAGGCAACATACTGTGGCATGGGCTAAAATGTAGGAGACACCGCTAAGTATTTGTAAATCAGCAACACAGAAAAACAAAGTGCTCCTCTGGCAACACACACACACACACCCGTTTTGACTTTCTCTCCCAGGCCACAGCCCACTCTTCCTCCATTTACCTGCCGGGTGCCGCAGCCTTGACAGAGCTCTGGGAGCACGGCTGGCATTCGCTTGGCTGCAGAAGGTTTTCTGTAATACTTTGGATACGCTCTGGCCATGCAGTTACTGATGTCTTTTGAGTCTGTTGCTGCCTGGATCCTGACTCTTTCGCATCCCTGAGATGAGCAGTAACTGTGGCCATCCCTGTGGCTTCTGGCTTTGAGATACAAAAACAGTAACCTGCACGAAACAGAAACCAACCCATTTGGTTTTCCACTCTCCAAACCTTAACAAAATTCCTCAAACAGACTCCTGGCCAGAAAAGGGATGTTCCTAATATGGTAATTCTTCCTTAACAGAAAAATAAATTATAAAACTGCTTCTCTTTCCTTTCTATCTTAGTAGGGTTCTGAGTTGAATGTATAAATATCATTTTAGAAAATATTTTTATATCCTGATTCAGTCATTCTGGAAGATATCAAAGTTGATTTCTGGTATGAATTAGTTCAATAGGTAATTAGGGAGGACAGAATTTGGCTTAACTAAAAAAATTCCTTGGAAAACTTTATACTTCTGTTGACTTCATGACTCAGTAAATTGCTGCGGATTATTCTTTTTACTCTTTTTTGGGGGAGGGGTCATAAATCACTTTAGTTTAAGGCACAAAACTGGAATATAAAAACAGCAACTCTGATTTATTTGGCAATAAATCAGATCAGCCTCCAATCAATTCCTGTGATGTTTACCAGGAACAGATGGGCCTGAGGTTCTTCCGACTGTATTTGAGCCAAAAATCAGACAAAATGAACAGTCCCACCCATTCTGAATTATCCTCCTACTGCCAAGATGAAGGGAAAACTCTAACTTGCAGGCCACAGTCCAATATCCATCAGCAATCCCAGTCCCTCTAAAACGGAGGAAGTCAATATTCTAGAGCACTTGATAAAACGTGACTGATTATTGGAGATCAGGAATTCACATTTTAATGAGGTCAAAGAACATTGTAAGATTGCAATTAAGAGGTAAAATATCTGCCATTCTCCCCACACTCAACAATTTTAACATATCTTCATGAGGAGCATCAGGGACGCGATGAGACATGGGCCCTGTGATAGATAATTAAAATCATCAAATGAATAGAAAAGAGTCAGAAATCCAGAGGCTAACGGATTCTTAAAATATCCAGACCAGAAGACATTTCCATGTCTTATACACTTAAATCATTAATTAGTGATCACTAGATTGCCCTTACATATTTTGCTGTTCCAATTCTTTTTATGGCACATCAATTGGGAATGTGCAAGTTCTTGTCAACTACAGAATATGAAGTTCCTGTAGGTTGTTGAATCAGAAATTGAAGATCAGAGACATTTATACAAACAAAAGACCTTTAAGCTGAGCACACTGGCTGCTGGGGTTCTTTAAGGACAAAACCTAATGACTAAGCCCTAACTTTCACCTTCGCCCAATCCGTCTTGCCACTTTCCTCCCCATTTTGAATTGCTATTTTCCCAAACATGCCATGCTGTGTTCCTCCATGCCTCCATGCATTTGTGCACACTGTTCCTTCTGCCAGGTACTCCTATTTCACTATCTCCTCATCATTATTCCTCAAGAATTAGTTCCACTGTCACCTTCTTGGGATACCAAAAGGCGTGCTGAATGTTCTACTAAAAAACGTACACCACTTCAGCCTTTTGCTCTATGGTTACTTGCTTTGCATGCCCACATCCTCCAAAGGACTGTGAATTTGCAGAAGAAATGGGTCTTGTTTACAGTAGTACCTTGACAGTGCATACCAATGGCATTGAGTAGGAATGTCAGCTTAATGATGGGGACTGATGGAACATGCTGCTTGCTGGTAGAATATAGGAGATTGAGCCTACCATGACCCAAAGGCTGAGAGACTGTAACTGGACAAAAGCAGACAAAGCCAACAGGACCCCAGGAGAACAGGATTAGAATTAGAAAGTAGAAAGATGTAGCCTAGAGAGAGTTGGAAGCAAACACGCCACGGTTACATAGTGATTTTTAGAAATTCCAGGTCAACTTGCGAGGGATCAGCCGGAAGAGAAAAATGAGCTTTCACTGAAATATAAACTATATTCTATGTAAATAACCATCTTGAGGGTTGTTATGGAAAATTATTTTAATGTTCAATTGAGTTTACTGGTTGTTCATTGACAAGGATAATTTCTCTCTCTAAATTGACTTAATAGGTATACGGCAAACATCTTCCCACAATTCCTACTGCCAAAACCATAATTACGAGCCACTCTGATTCTCTCCTAGACCTCTAATAGTGATGTGCAGACAATTATCCACATCAGCTGCCTTTCTGAACAGCTGTCACATCACAGCCTATTCTTAGCTATGCTGAAGAGCTAGTAATTTCACCATTAAAGAAAAATAACAATAATTCGCATTCCTGGTCCTACTGAATTACCCGACGCTGGAGTCGAAATAGAACTTCCTCTCGGACTGCTTCCTCTGCAGCTCCTCCAGGGAGTGCACGGCCTCGTATTCTTCCATTTTGGATAGCGAGCCATTCTGCCGCTGTAAAAAGCCGAAGGAGACCTGGAAGCTTGTGTTTGACGGATAGCAGAGGCCAACGCGAATCCAGTCATTCCTTCAAAGGGAGACAGTCAAAAATGAATTCACATTTGAGCAAAGATCTTCTGAATATTAGAGTATATTTAAACTTTAACCATGATGTTTTCCCCTTAAAATTTCTGTTGTGTGTTGAGCCACTAACAACAGAAGTCCCAAAACTGTCATACAAATGAATCATCTATCTATTGGCCAAATTTCTCTGATCAATATATTTACAATACTAATATGCTCCACAAAACAACCTTGGGTTCAATGGAATTTTGGAGAGTGTGAACTGAACTCGGAGACAATGTGTAGACATTCCCCACAGACAGTGAAGTTAAATGAGATGGCTGAGTACGGATATACTAAGAAACACTAATAACCTGATTATTGAAATATACTGGCAAAATCAATATAAGGAATTTTTTTGTTCACAAATTCATTTTTTTCTAAATAAAATATTCTTTAAAATGTATTATTTATGTGAAAGAGAAACAAAGATAGACAGACAGCTTCCATTTACTGGCTCACCCTCCAAATGCTCCAAACAGTTGAAAGTGGATCAGGCCAAAGCCAGCAGGCAGGAGCTCAGTCTGGGTCTCCCACAAGAGTGGCAGGGACCCAGCTACTTGAGTCCTCACCTGCTGCCTCGCAGAGTGCACATTAGCAAGAAGCTGGAATTAGAAGTGGAGCTGGTACACATGGCCAGGCACTCCAATATGAGACGTGGGCATCCTTTGCAGCATCTTAATTGCTGTTCCAAACAACCACTCCACAAAATTATTTCTACCTTTTATATTTTTATTTATTAGGATACATTCCTAGTGGCAAGGCTGCAGATATGGGGCCAGCATTGTGATGTGATGGGTGGAGCCACCACTTGTGATGCCAGTATCCTATATGGACACCAGTTCAAGTCCCAGTTGCTCCACTTCCAATCCAGTTCCCTGCTAATGCACCTAGGAGAGCAGTGGAAGATGGCTCAAATGCTTGGGTCCTTAAACCCACATGAGAGACCCAGAAGAAGCTCCTGGCTTCGGCCTGGCCCAGCCCCAGCTGTTGCACCATGCGGGGAGTAAACCAGTGGATGGAAGATCTCTCTGTCTCTCCCTCTCTCCTTCTCTAACTTTGACTTTCAAATAAACAAATCTTTGAAAAAGAATACAGCCGATATAAAAGTTTATGCCTTCTTAAGGCTTTTGATGCCTACCACCAAATCACCAAAGTGTTTTTCTTAATGTCCTTAGATACAAAGTCAATCTTTCTAAAGCATTACCAATGTTTTCCCTTCTTATCATTTCTGACCCTTTCTATTGTAGTGAAATAGACGTATCACGCAATGTACCATTCCAGTCACTTTTAGCTGTCCAGCTCAGTGGCATTAAATGTAATCACAAGCTTGCGCAACCATTACCACTATCCACCTCTGGAACTTTTTCATCACTCTGAAGAATTTTGAAACAATATGTAACCAGGCCTTAAAACTGTTCACACAGGTTTTATCCAGTAATCCCACCAAAGAATAAATTATAAATACACACAAAAGATGTAGAAGACCTTCTGTAACACATTGTTTATAACAGAAAAGGGGGGGGGGTTGGGACAGGAAAATAAAAGTCTAAATGTTCACAGGGAAAAAGGGCATTAAAAATTATGGTACATTCATATGCTTGGAAAAACCTGAGTGTACAAGGAGGGGAGACATAAATGTTGACAGTGCCTTACTTTAATTCAGAAGATTATAGATTATTTCAATTTTCATGAAGTTTTCTGTATTTCCTATACTTTGCATAACGGGTTAAGTACAGCTCTTATAACTTGTGGAGTGTTATGTTTCAGAAGTGCACTATGACGAAATCTGTGGCCTCCCTACAATTATATGAAGTTTAGGGGAAAAAGTGCCCATCTCTTCCTCTTGCCTCTGCCCATCTTACACTTTTTAAGGACTTCATTGAATTACACAAGGAAATCGTGACTCAATTTCAAGCCCATGAGGTTCTTTGAAACTTCTGGGTTCAGCCTTTTTTCACTTCAAATATTTTCACTTCACTTCCTTTCACAGAACGCAGCACAGCATTTGATTTTAACTACCTATCTTCAAATTCATAATGCTACCCAGAGTACTGATCACTCTGACATTTCTTCTCCCTCCTTCCCGACAGCTGCCTGTTTCTTTCACTGATTTCTCTGCAACTCACTGATGGTATCACATTGCATTTTTAGCAACACCACCCTGGGTACAATGTAGACTAAGGATTAGAAGTGGGGAGACACCACTGAGCATGCACTATGATTATCCTCTAAACAATGCAGTATAATATATATATATACATATATATATATAATGCCATATATAAGACATTGACATTCTACTAGGTATTAGATGTAATATAGAGATGGTTAAAGTATATGGGAAAATATGCACAGGTTATATGCAAATATTCGCATCAACTGGCACACAATAAACACTTACATAAGCTAACATAAAAAAAAATAGAGCCTAGGGCTGAACATAATGTTACTGGGACAGACAACTGAGAAATCACAAAGGAACAGCACACTGCTCTAAGGCAGGGAAGGCGAATACCCGGCATCCATGCCCAACTCTTCCACTGAGAGCAGATATTACTGATCAATCACAACACTTTCTTGCCTCAAGCCTAAACTTGGCCTCACGGGTCTTCTAATTTTCTAAGTATCCAGGTGCTCACTAGGGCTATCATATAAAACATCTTCCAATCCAAGGTACAGGAAACTAAGGCATTTGCCAGATGATATTAAAATCTTTAGCTGAATGACTTTCTGTACACAAAACCTTGACCACAAAGAAAAACAAATACTTCTAAAGCGGAGGAGCAAGGCCTAGATATTTGATGCAGCAGTTCTGATGCTGCTTGTAATGCCCACATCCCCTAGCAGAGTGCCTGGTTTAAGCCCCGGCTCTGCTTCAGACTCCAGTTTCCTGCTAATGTGCACCCTGGGAGGCAGCAGGTGATGACCCAAGTCCTTTGGTCCCTGCCACCCTCATGGGAGACCCAGACTGAGTTTGGGCTCCTGCCTCTGTTCTAGTTGAGCCCTGGCTGCTTGCAGGTATTTGGAGAGTAAACCAGCAGATGGAAGATCTCTGTCTCCCTCTCAGCCTCTCCCTTTCTCTCTGCCTTTCAAACAAGTGAAAATAAATTAATTTTCAATTTATATGATAAAATAAAAGCAAAAATAAATTAATGTTCAATTTATATGATACTTTTAAAAGTTTATGAGAAACAGAATGAAAAGAGGTTCATTTTGATGCAGACTTTGTTTTACATCCATCCATATTTTTTCACCATACCCATTTTCCATGAACATTTTGAAGACTTTTAATTCCATACAAATGAAAAACAGCAGCCTCCCTTCAAGAGGAACAAGGCACATGAAATTGGCCTTCTTTATTTACTACAAAGGAAAAACACATTATCCTTGTTCTCCACTAAAGCACTAGTCATTCAATTGTGCTATCACAGCAATGGCAACATACTTGTTGAAGTTTATGAGGTACAGAAAAGTAGTCCTTGGTGCCGGCCCATTCCAGTGGATGGTGTAGCCCTTGTCCAGCATGATCACGGGCTGGTACTGCTGGAAGGCTGCCTTCTGGTTAATGCCCCGGAGCACCATGGGATGGGATGGGTACTCATCGCGTGCAATGGTCATCATAAGGTTCTGGGTGCCCCATGTCTGGACATAGACCTTAAAAAAAAGAAATCACAGAATTAACGGGAAGAGAATCAAGTTTTTAAAGAACTCAATCTGCACAAAGCTAAGGTTCTCCACTCTGAAAAGGGAGACTCTGATCTGTGCCAGGTAAACCGAGCTGTGTCAAACTACATCCAAAGCCACACTCGCAGTGCAGCCTGTTTAAACTCATCATGGCCAAAACAGACCCTGAGGCCTGGTAGCCAGGCTCTGCATCGTCAGTCCCACCACCACGGGCCAGCTTATTCATCAGAATATAAAACTCCTGTGGCTTCTCCAGCTTCTCAAAGAAATCCCCCAATCTGAAGAACACACACCAATAAATTAGCAAACAGACGGGAAAACAGATCTAAGAAACTTTCCTCTAAACCAAGAGATGGAAAATTTATACACTGGAGAGCTTCGGCTTTCAATTTTCCATGACCTACGTCAGCCCAAGAAGTCATTTTTCACCATTCAGGAAAAAAGTTATAAAGTCTTCTGTAGCAACTGGAAAATTACATTAAGCTGAGGCAAATTTGAAAGTTCTGAATGTATTCCAGTGGCGCTGGAGTCGCATGCCATGCCCAACAGACCTCTCCTATCTGCTTCCTCCAGAGCACAAAACTTGGCAAAATTTCCTAAAACAAGTCAGTGTGTCCAGGGTATCCAAATTCTCCAGAAGCATTGCAACACTTGGCAGAATGCTGACAGTCCGTCTACAACACTTCCGTATTTTTCTGTCTTTTCTGCAATCTTATCTGTTTTGACTCCTCAACTGTATGTTCCTTGGACCAGAAAGTCTTAACTCTTATCCATAGTTCACTACTTTGATTTAATGTTTTTCCCAACACCACTTAAAGATTTTAAATAACAAGACTGGAAACATATCTTCAAGACTACTGGCTATAGGGGAGCTGGTGCTGTGGCGTAATGGGTTAAGTATCCACCTGCAGTACCAGCATCCCACACGGGCACCAGTTTAAGTCCCGGCTGCTTCTCTTCCAATCCAGCTCTCTGCTATGGCCTGGGAAAGCAGCAGAAGATGGCCCAAGTGCTTGGGCCCGTGCACCTGCATGGGAGATCTGGGAGAAGCTCCTGGCTCTTGGCTTTGGATTTCGGATAGGCCTAGCTCCAGCCATTGCAGCCATCTGAGGAGTAAACCAGAGGATGGAAGACCTTTATCTCTGACTCTCCCTCTCTCTGTAACTCTACTCTCAAAGACAAAAACAATAATAATAAAAAAATACTATTTTCATTTGAATAGATATTTAATACAGACTTCAATACATATTATACTGGAGTACTATAAAAAGTTTATTAAATTAAGAGATAAGTTTATTTTGGTGCAAAAATTTTTGAAATCCATGCATCCCGGGGATCTTTAAAGAGTTCATGAAAAGTGTGTATTATGATTTCAAAATACATTTGAATCAAAATAAAATTAGCTTTTAATTCCACTTTCCAATAAACTTTGTGAAATAATTCATGTAATATTTCTTTACATGTATTTAGCAATATACACTGATAGATGCATACCCATGTATCTTCTATCTCCTGCCTTCTTCACAAGGATGGCTGGAGGTAGCACAGGAAATCACGTTCCTCCTTATGTTATCACCTTGCTTACTGAGCACCTTTATCCCTCAAGTCAGCACAGGAAAGCCATTCCACTAAGGAATATTTATAAATAGCAAAGACTAATTCCTCTACCTTGAGGTAGTGCTGTGCCCATCTCTTGCTTACGAATGTTCCCTACATTATTAGTAACAATAAACTGCAGCAGATCTGAGCTTCTGGCTCAAATTCATGGAAGAAAATTCTTGACCCATGGTCTTACATTCCCAGAGCCTCCTGGGAAATATTAGACAACTTATTTCTTTCTTCATCTACTAACAAAAATAGAATATGCTACTCTTCTTGGTAAGGCAAAAGGATCAGGTTCATATTTTCAAATACATCAGAAATTCAAAGAGTTGAATAAGATATATATATATATGGTACTTCAGAAAGTTCATGGAAAATGGAATTAAAAGATGTTCATTTGGTGGAAAGTTTTGAAATACAGGCATTGCTGTTTCCTAATAGACATTTTCCATGGTTTTTTTTTTTTTTTTTTTACAGGCAGAGTTAGACAGTGAGAGAGAGAGAGAGAGAGAAAGGTCTTCTTTCTGCTGGTTCACCCCCAAATGACCGCCATTTGGCACTGCGCCGATACGAAGCCAGGAGCCAGGCGCCTCCTCCTGGTCTCCCACCCTCCACTGCCTTCCTGGGCCACAGCACAGAGCTGGAATGGAAGAGCAACTGGGACAGGGCCGGTGCCCCAACCGGGACTAGAACCCGGGGTACCAGCGCTGCAGGTGGAGGATTAGCCTAGTGAGCAGTGGCGCCGGCTTCCATGAATTTTTGACGATTCTCCACATGCGTGAAGTCAAACTTGTTGCACTTAATAATTTATCTTTTAATTCTATTTCCCAACAAACTTGAAGTTTCCTCATATAACATGTATAGTAATTAATAACTTTAATTTATAAAAATTAAGAGCTATCATAATTATTTAATTTAGCTATACATAAATAATTATTTTAAAACTATAACGTAAGTTTTCATTAGTAGACATATCACATTTTAAAACACACACATCCCTGTATATGAATACACATGGATGGCAAGAAATTTAAAACTGTTGTTACAAAAAGACCAAAAAATGTTTATTTTTGTTTTTATTTGAAATGTAGAATGTCTGTAGATTCCTAAGTGTTGACAGCAGCGAAGGGGAAATTCTAAGTAAGAATAAAACAAATGGAAAAAGAAAACCTCATTTTAAACCACATTCTTTTCTTTTTTGTTATGCTGTAGCTAATTCTCTATCCTTTCCTTGTTCCTCCAGGACTTAGTCAAATATATTTGTTGTCTTTTTGTGTATGCCATGGAAATCAGATATCTGAGAACAAAGAAGCTAACACCCCCATCAAAATAAACCAGAAACTGTCTCTCTTAATCTTTTTGTCTTATCTATGATAAAACCTAAACATAAGTTTTATTTTCTTAAAAACATGTTTATTGATATTCATCTACTTGAAAGGCTATAATGAGAGTGAGTGAGTGAGTGTGAGAAAGAGAGGGAGAGAGAGAAAAAAACCATCAGTTATCTGGTTCACTCCCCAAATGGACAACAGCCAGAGCTGGGCCAGGTACAAACCAAGAGCCAGGAACTCCACCCAGATCTCCCATGTAGGTGGCAGGGACCTGAGCATTTGAGGCATCATCCACTGCCTCCCAGGAGGCATTAGCAGGGAGTTGGATTGGAAGTGGAGTAGCCAGGACTCAACATGGCATTCTGAGACGGGCAAAGGGTATCCCAAGCGGCAGCTTAGCCTGCTGCACCTCAATGCTTGCCTCAAGTTTTTAAACTCAAGAATAACATCGTTAGCAGTCATGATTCAAAACCAGAAGTGTAGTGAATTCTGCTCCAAAAAGCTCTAACTACAGAAGGTGATAGAAACCACACAAACACAGGGACTCAGAGAGGCAACAAGACCCCCTTGGCAGCAACGTCAGCAGCAGAAGGCAAATACGGCCCTGGTCCTTTCCCAGGGAAAACCCATGCTGCAAGGAAGAGTGTCTAGCAGATCAGTGAGGCTTCTTTCTTGCCTTCGAGACTGTCACAGACAACTCCACGCAGAAGACCCCTTGTCTTCCTCTAAGTCTTCTCTGCAGGTTCTCATCACCCCCTCCCTTTATTCTTTGCACTCCTGTGCCAGTCTATTATTAAATCCTACCTTTTAATTGTCTAAACCACAGAAAAAAAATACTGCTCCCTTTAAAAATCCTGGCAACTGGCACCCCTGTTCTGCAACCTCTTCTATCCACCCAAGTATGACTATTAAAATCTCCTTCACAAGACAGGCATGATGGCAGTGCAGGTTAAGCCATGGCTTGGGATGCCTAAGCCGTGGCTTGGGATGCCACAGTCATTATCAGAGTACCTGGTTGGATTCTGATCTACTTGGCTTCTGATCTAACTTCCTGAGAATGCATGCCCTGGGGCAGGGGGGAGGGTAGCAGGTGAGGGCTCATGGACGTGGGTCCCTGCCACCCACATGGGAGACCTGGATGGAGTTTTGGGCTCCTGGCCTAGGCTTGGCCCAGTCTTGGCTATTGTGGGGATCTAGGGAACGAACCAGCAGATGTGAGCCGTCCTCACGGAAGCAGTGTTGTCAGGAGCTGGAGGTGCTCAGGCACCAAAGTGCCTTCTGGGCCTACCTGAGCGTAGGTCCCACTGCAGACCACAGCATTCCACCTGGTAACGTTCACACAGTTCGGATGGCGGATCAGGTAGTTGTCCATTCTTCCCACATACACATCCTTGTATCCTGTCACAGAGCCATCGATGTCGTGGAAAATGGAGTTCTTATCACCATCCAGCTCACAATCTTCAAACCAGGGGCCAGGCTTTCCAAAGAAGACATTCAGAGAGACCTGAGAGTGGTGAAAGCCAAGGACATCAGAAAACGAGGGCTCTTGCCTTCCTGCTCAGCATCGTCTACAATGATGCCACTGCACATCGTGACAACTGCTCTGAGATTCGCGCAGGTCTAGATAGGGCTATCTCCTACAGTACTCAGGCAACCACATTCAAGGTGGGGCGGGGGAGGGATTCTACAGCCTTAGGGAGTTCAAACAGCAAAGGTTATACTTCATCTCTATTTTCCTTCTTGTATTTCCACATTTAAAAACTGCTATCAGATCTCCAAACAAAATAATCTGTGGTAAGAGAAACCAGAACAGTTGTGGGAATGGAGACTGTAGAGCCATTTATATTTATTAAAATGCATCACCCACACACTTGAGATCTGTGTGTCTCCTTACATGCAAATTTTAATTCAACTAAATAAAAACCAAGTATATCTTCCAAGTTAATCATTTTATTTCACCTCAAATGCTTTAGTGACTTGGATCCCTAGGCCAAAAAATAAACACAATTTAAAACTGAAACATAACTTAAGTGTTGGGTTAATATGGCGAGTTACTGTTGAACTCACTAGCATCTACTAAAATAAGTGTGTTACTACCTCTCTGCTCAACAGATTGAGCCCCACTCAATCATTTTCATATCAGGTAGTGTTTATCAAAATTCTTCACCGAATACATGATATACACATGCAAAGCAGGCTGCAGGTGACCTGTTTTGCACTCATTAGCTGCTTTTTGCTAGCAGTGAATTACTAACATTCAGGTCACAGAGATACACCCCTCCATGCTGCCATGTGCTCATCACCCAGGGATGGTTTGAAACCATAGAATATCCAAACGGCAAGCAACCTGATGGAAAATGCATCAGGTTCTTTTTCTCTTTTCCCTTGAGCCTCCTTTCGGATCAAAGTTTAGAGTTTCTACCTTTTAGGTAGAACAAATTTTGCAGTGTTTCCCTTACAAACTATTGTTAGAGCATTACAACCACAGAAAACTCCAGGCTGGATACAAGGGAAGATTTAAACAGTCATGGATTCTCTTGTACTGTTGCAACATAGGGCTCCTACAACAAATTAGCATCTAACACACTTTTTCAGAATGATCATGTCAGTGGTCACTGCACTCTATGGAACACTACAGGGAGGTCCATGTGGGCAGTAAAGGAACCAACTTCTACCTGGCGAGCTGATCAGAGACCTACCCTGCCTATTTATTTGCATGGTAAGCCATCCCTCCCCTGAAGTCATGCGACCTGAAGGAGCAGAACCAACTGAGTTGACCTCTCAAATCGTACTTGAGTGTCTGTTCCACGCCTGCACTTCTCCAGAAAGCCAAACACAGACTTTGGTAAACCTACCGCAGCTCTATTTTAACCTGGGCAACCACAAAGCCCGTGTGTGGGTGTGAAGGAGAGAACAAAAGCTCCTTGCTGCTCTGGCTGCTGTGGGAGCAGGGAGCTAGACGGCATGAGATTCAATCACTCTCTGCCACTGCCAAGATGTTGACAGCATGGGGTAGGGAATTGGAGGGCCCTGTTTATCACAGGTGAAGGGAGAACCAGTGAAACTGCTAACAACACTACCTCCATGGGCTACTGCACTGCAAACAATTTTTGCAATCTTCATAAAAACTGGCCAACTGTTTAAATCAGAAAAACCCAATGTGTAACACACTGCTTAGTAGCTGCCTTTCCTTCCCAACCTTTGATTCTCCAGGTCCCCAGACAAAGAATTCTCATACAAGTAAAATACCAGATAGGAGCCAAGTCTCTCAGTGGAGATGGTCTATCCCACCTCCATCCATTTCCCCAAGTTATGTCTCCCTGTTCCTGTGAAACCCTACAAACCCCAGTCATTTTCCCTTTCAAGGTATCCCTAGAATGTCAAGAATATTCCAGGATCACAGGAGATTGAACTCAATGAGACAGAGTACAAGAAATTCATACCTACTTTTCTATGTACCTTGCCTCCCAGTCATAAAGACACAGTGCAAAGCCTTTGTGTTTTTGTCTTTGGGAATGTGCTACCCCTCCCTCTCCCACCAGAGTCACAGAAGAACATACTCACATGTGGACCAAACTTCACGAGGGAGATGTTATTCCTGGGGGTGATCTGCCAGGAATTCTTCATGAGGAACCCAATCGCACTACTGTACCTATCCGGAGTTGGCATGTATTTTTTGAAAGTGCTCCTGGTGAGATGAATCGGCCCATCATAAATCTGGAAGCCTCTAATTGGAAATGTCCTGTTGAAATGCAAGAATTTATTTAATACATATAGGCCTCTCCCCTTAACAGCACTTCACCTCCCTTGTTTTATAAACACTACTGAATATGTCCTATTTGCTAAGCAAAATTCTAGGATACAGTAGTAATTAGTAAAGATTCCTGCTGGGAGGAAACATATAGTGTAGTGAAAAAAAAAACAAAAACAAAAACCTACAAAGGATCATTTCAGATAAAGAATGTTAAGGAGGCGACAGGTATTTGCTAAAGCCGTTAAGTTGCCACTTGGGATGTCCACGTCCCCTATCAGAGTTCCTGGTTCAAGTCCTGGCTCTTCCACTTCTGAGCCAGTTTCCTGCTAATGCACGCTGGGAGGCAGCAGGTGATGATGCAAGTACTCTCGGGACCCTCCCAACCACATAGGAACCTGGGATTGAGTTTCAGGTTCCTGGCTTCAACCTGACCCAGTCCTGGCTGTGTGGGCAACTGGGAAATGAACCAACAGATTTAAGACCTCTCTCTGTGTCTCTCTGCCTTCCAAATAAAATGAAAGCAAATTTTAAAAAATAGGGTAGGGGGAGAAACTGTTCTGAATACCTCAATAGAGGTGTCTCTAAAGATGTGACTTTGGCTTCCTTGAATCAATTCACCTAAGATCTTTTATTTGGTCACTCATATACTTTAGTTTGAGTTCAAAAATCTCTTGCTATGAGAACAAAGGAAAAATCTGTACTTAAACATAGAGAACCTCCCCTCCAACCATTAAATGACAGCAAAGGTAAAATGATGTGCTTAAAAGTCTAGTCCTCGTGGCTTGCTCTATCAAGAGTTGGCAAGACTGACAATTTTGCTTTATTCATTTTCCTCTTTTCTGTTCAAACACAAACTCCCAAGCATAATAATCATAAATAATAAACCATAATTAATGTACAAAAGCTATATTTTGAATTCTTCAGATTTTTCTCCTATTAAATTCTTGAATGGCAGACAGATTAGTGTACATCATGGCAATGTTTTGTATAAAGAAAAGTACATATATAAGGTTACTTCTAAAACTTCAAGGAAAATGGAATTAAAGGGTTTTTGGTGCCAAAAAAAATTAAAACCCATGCATACGAGGGTCTTCAAAAACTTGACAGAAAATGCAATTATGAAAAAAACTGTGTGCATTCTAAACATTTTTGTACAAAAATAAACTTATTTTTTAATTCCATTTATCCACAAACTTTTTGATGTACTCTTAAACTAGCAAGTTAACCAAGTAGCCTATCTAAATTCTGATGTATCATGTTGTATTTCTAAGCATACAGCTCAAATTTGTTCTCCCTCATGGAAAAGGTTGTAAAGATACATATAAATAAAAATTAGAACCATCAATCAATGAGAAATTTTTGTATTGGAAAATCCTCTTTAGCAAAGAAGCAGTATTTCCAAATAAAACTGGAGGTCTCTGGGGCTGGTGCTGTGGCATAGCGGGTAAAGCCGCCGCCTGCAGTGCCGGCATCTCATATGGGCGCTGGTTCGAGTCCCAGCTGCTCCACTTCCGATCCAGCTCTCTTCTATGGCCTGTGAAAGCAGTGCAAGATGGCCCAAGTGCTTGGGACTCTGCACCCTTGGAGACCTGGAGGAAGCTCCTGGCTCCTGGCTTCAGATCGGCACAGTTCTGGCCACTGCGGTCAATTGGGGAGTGAACCAGCGGATGCAAGACCTCTCTCTCTCTCTCTCTCTCTGCCTCTCCTTCTCTCTCTCTATGTAACTCTGACTTTCAAATAAATAAATAAATCTTTAAGAAAAAGAAACCTGGAGGTCTCTGTAAATGAAAAGAATAGAATTGACTTGACCAACATCATACTTTAGCACAAACCCTAACCAACACAGCTTGATAAAGCCAAAAAAAAATCCTACATGTCGGAAGAGACAGCAATAGCCTAATTGTGAAGAACACAGCACTGAAGCCAAACTGAGTTTAAATTCCACCTCTGCGCCGGCGCCGCGGCTCACTAGGCAAATCCTCCGCCTAGCGGCGCCGGCACACCGGTTTCTAGTCCCAGTCGGGGCGCCAGATTCTGTCCCGGTTGCCCCTCTTCCAGGCCAGCCCTCTGCGGTGGCCCGGGAGTGCAGTGGAGGATGGCCCAGGTGCTTGGGCCCTGCACCCCATGGGAGACCAGGAAAAGCACCTGGCTCCTGGCTCCTGCCATCGGATCAGCGCGGTGCGCCGGCCGCAGCGCGCCGGTCGCGGCGGCCATTGGAGGGTGAACCAACGGCAAAGGAAGACCTTTCTCTCTGTCTCTCTCTCTCACTGTCCACTCTGCCTGTCAAAAAAAAAAAAAAAAAAAAAAAAAAAAAAAATTCCACCTCTGCATCCCTTAGTAGGTTACTTACTTGTAAAACAGAAAGTTGACAGTATCTGTCTCTCTGTGCTTTTAGAACAGAGGCTGATAAACAAATAAACATTTAATAAATGCTAGCTATTACAGATCCATCAAGTTCTTCCCCAGTGCCTTGCACGGCCTGACAGACAGGAGTTCTACAGAGTGCAGCATAAAACAACGCTCGATATCCCACACTGACAAGCACAGAGGAGAGAAGAGAAGAGAAGCATGGGAACTCCCTGCCAGAACCTCACACAGCCCTTCCGGGCTTCCCTCCAACCCCACGTATGGCTAACAGCCTGCCTGGCCCGTCCCCCCTCCTTGTTCTACTCAACATCAGAGACGGCATCCTTCCTCGGACTTGATGCTTGTGGATCACGGCAAAGGCTCACTCCCATGCCTTTAGAACACTAGTGAGCGTTTCACTACCTCATCTTCTCACAAGTCAAATGAGGACTACACCAAATCGTCCTGAGAACGGAGGTACAGCTTTGTTAGTTCCTATTTCCTGCCTCATGCTCAGTACTCCCTTAATGAGTCTGTGATGACGATGACCGAACGGAGGCCAGCCGCCCTGACCCTGCAACACTGCAAGCTTCGGTCTGGAGTCTGCTTTGGAATCAATCAACCCTCATTTTCTAGGACTCTTTTCAGCAAGTCATTTCCTTTTTCCAGTGGCTATTTCTGAAAACCAACATCACAACTCGAGGGAAAACTGACCTAATGTCATAGTTTATGGTTTGGCAACTTTGTACAGCGCAAGAAAGAAAGGGGGAAAAAATATCACTGACTTATATAAGGTCTTATATAAGGAGTGAGAAAAAAAAAAAGAGAGGTTTCTATAAGAGAGGTTTCTATGTTATAAATTGTATACATAGCATTGATATTGAAATCTATGAAATGTTTACTAATTAGTATTCCAAAACTCCAAGAGTGTAGCACGTAGAAAAGAATAATATCAGGTGTCAGAATAACATTAAGATAGATAGGGTTAGTTTTCCTTCATGGCATAAATTTAACCCTGTCCTGCACAAGCAACACTTACCTGTTTCTAGGTAATGTTCGAGGCTTCTGGTCTATTCCTCCAATGCCCATGTACTTGTTCTGACCGCCCTGAAAGCCGTAATTCCTGCTCTCCCCAACGAAGAGCGATTCAGACACCTCCTGGCTGGAGCCCTCATCACTTGGGAAGCTTCCATCACTGTTAAAATGAGAACAATCATTAGCACCAGGGAAGTTTAACTTGTCCCCAACTGAATGTAACCTACAACTTTAACATAAGACTATGGCTAAATTAAAGCAGGTTCTAAGAAAAGTAATACTGTTTTTAAATGTTCTCCCTTCTTTCATACTCCTCCTCTTATTTTAAGAACTTTAGTCTACATCTCCAGTGGTTTCTTCTTCACAAAACTTATGACAGGCCTACCCTTCTGTGGAATTCCAGCCAACTCCCTACTACTTTGTTATCTAGTCAAGTAATCGATAAACATGTATTCTTGGCCCTCTAGTGGTATCGTGGAGAGGATGCTCACTTTTTTAACGTTAATAAAGAAAATTCCTGTTATTTCCCCCACTCCAAAAGAGTCAAGATTATTTTTGCCTTACAGCTTCAAATCAAATAAACACTTTTAAGCAATTACAAACCTGGCAAAGGTCAGTCCTATTCCATTATCTGCAAATCTGTACAAGAAAATAGAATAAGGGGAGATTTCAATTCACCACATCTTGTAACAAGAGGTAAGTCTCTCAATATTTAACTAGCAAGAAATCTGGGAGCTCCCAGTGCCTACTCCCTCCAAGGCCACACACAAGTTTCACTTTCCAAGAAACACTAGCAGCAGGAGTTTCACAGTGTGGGTACAGGTTCTAATCCCAGGTTTGCCAATTACTCACTGTGGCCTCAGGCTAATTGCCCTTTCTCTCCCTCAGCTTTCTCAATGGGAAGTTGCAATAATCACATAAGTTTCCTCAGAGAATTCTTGAGAACATTAAACATATTGAATAATTTCAAGTATTTCAAAGTGACGGGCACACAGCAAGCATCATACAAGCATATGTTATAATCATGTTTTATAGCTATTTTAAAAATTATATCATGGTGTTCTCAAAACTTTTCAACACGACACTCAAGCCATTTCTAGATTCAACTTCATATCCATTGCTTGAATGATGAAAGTCATACATGATGGCAAAAATGCCAGGAAGCTAAAGGTCAGAGCCAGAAAAATATTTTTTTCTAGACTTGTTGAACCCTAAATCTTAGCTTGACATGTATCAGGCCTCTTCCCAAATTAGACAGGTGGAAAAAAGTGAGATGCTTCCCCTTTGAAGTCATGTTGAGACACAAGGCAACAGATTTATTTCAGTGGAATGGTACAGCTTTTGTTTGGAATGGCTAGGGCAGGGTATCAGAAACACTTTAAGGTGTTTCCAAGAGCAAGGGGAAAAAAAAATTCTAGGTAGTTTCAAACTCTTAGCTCTCTGACACAGACCGTGTTTGTTAAATTAAGCTAAATTCCATGTCTCTGTTCAATCTCCATCAAAAAAATACTCCATGTCACCAGACAAATTCAGTTCCAGTAAAAGCACCAGAATGAGACAATTCTAAACATTTGCAGGCAGCTAACTACAGTGCACTTCCTCAGAGCTTGTCCTGTCTACTCATAATAACAGGATTCCAGAAACCACCACTGTGCTTTCATTCTGCTGCGCCTTTTTTTTTTTTTTTTTAATCCTTAAAAACAAATACATCAGTGTCATCAGATAGTCACTTCGTGGAGAATACTCACGCCGAATTCTGAACAACAATGTCTCCTCCTCTCACCCAAGCTCCATTGTCATTATTTTTAAAAGCAATGAGCCTGTCAACCACAGCAGCCACACGTGGCTTTTCAGGGTCTGCATCCTGATGAGGCCGAAACCTACGGTTTAAAACAACACAGAGCTCTTTCTTTTAAAAAGTAATAAGAAGGCAACAGAAATTATCTATTTGTACGTTTAAGCATCAAAAAGCAGGATTTAAATTTGAGCAAAACAAATGAGGAAATCTTAAGCCATAACTTATTTATGTGTCCCATTCAAAGAAAAAAATTACATTTGTTTATATACAAGTTTCCAGAAAGCTGTTTTCATATTTTCTTAGGTTTTTTATTTTATTTGAGAGGTAGAGTTACAGACAGTGAGAGGGAGAGACAGAAAAGTCTTTTTTTTTTTTTTTGACAGGCAGAGTTAGTGTGAGAGAGGGAGAGAGAGAAAGGTCTTCCTTCCATTGGTTCACCCCTCAAACGGCTGTCACGGCCGGAGCTGCACCAATCTGAAGCCAGGAGCCAGGCACTTCCTCCTCCTCTCCCTTGCAGGTGCAGGGCCCAAGCACTTGGGCCATCCTCCACTGCCTTCCCGGGCTACAGCAGAGAGATGGAATGGAAGAGGAGCAACCAGGACAGAATTCGGTGCCCCAACCGGGACTAGAACCCAGGGTACCGGCACCGCAGGTGGAGGATTAGCCTAGTGAGCTGCGGTGCCGGCCAAGAGAAAAGTCTTCTGTCTGCTGATTCACTCCCCAAATGGCCATAATGGCCGAAGTTGCGATGATCTGAAGCCAGGAGCCAGGAGCTTCCTCTGGGTATCCCACACGGTGCAGGGCCCAAGGACTTGGGCCATCTTCTACTGCTTTCCCAGGCCATAGCAGAGAGCTGGACTGGAAGAGGAGCAGCCAGGACTAGAACCAGTGCCCATAGTGATTAACCTACTGTGCCACAGCATCTCTCTTAGTTTCTGGTTTTTTTTTAATCAGTTTATAGAAGAGAGATTGCAGAACTTTGTAAGTATGAAAACCACCTCCAAAAAAATTTCAGACCAGGGAATATGGCATGTCCTCAGAAATTCTTAACCTATAGGATACAAATATAATCTTACTGAATAAATCAATCATATATTCAATATGCATCTGTGTGAACTGAAGTATTGAGCTGTGTCTTAGTTAAGTGTCATAAATATGGACAAAATAGGGCTCAGGATCTTGAAAATACCTACATTTAAAATAGACTATATTTAAAGATTTTTTTTCCCTGAAAGTCATTATTTGGAGATATATTTTTAACAGTGACTTACTATTTTTTTTCACTTTTATTTAATTATTTTCATTTTATTTGAAAGGCAGATATGAAAAGACATCTGCAAATGCCTGCACCAGCCTGTGCTGGGCCAGAATGAAGCCAGGAATCTAGAACTCCACTGGGGCCTCCCAACATGGATGGCATGGGATGGACCCGTGCTCTGAGCCGTCATCTGCTCCTCCCAGGGTGCATATCGCAGAAAGCTGGATGGGAAGCAGAGTGGCCAGGACTGGAAGCAGGTACTCTGACGTGGGACATGGGCATCCCAAGCAGCAACTTAACCCCTGCCAGATGTCCACCCCTAAAACAGGCTACATTTAATTCACTTATTTATCATAGAATTTTACCTTTTCTTATTCTTCCCTTTAGAACACTTACAGGTTAAACTTAAGTTTTTTAAACTTAAAGGTTTAAAAAAAAAAAACTGGTGTCAAAACTATCTACTATAAGCACTCAGATAAATAATTCCCTAAGGCTTCTCATTTAAAAGCATAATAAAAGGGTTGGCATTCTAATTCAGCAGTTTAAGCCATCACTTGGGACACCAACATCCCTTATTGAAGTGCCTAGGATCAAGTACCAGCTCCATTTCCCACCTGGCTTCCTGCTAATGCTGATCCCAAGAAGGCAGAAGATGATGACCAAAGCACCTTGACATTCAGTATGGGAGATTTGGATGGAGTTCCTAGATCCTGGCTTCAGCCTAGCCCAGCCCTGGCTGCTGTTGGCATTTGCCAAGTGAACCAGGAGATTTAAGATCTCAGTCTCTCTGTCTCTGTCTCTCTGCCTTTTACATAAACAAATACATAAATGCTTACAAAACAATGAAGATCATTTCTATCTTGATCTTAGAAAGCTATAGGAAGAGAAAAAAACCATACAGCTTCTTTTAAAAAAAAAAAAAGATTTATTTATTTATTTGAAAGAGATACACACAGAAAGAAGGAGATGCAGACAGAGAGAGAGAGAGAGACAGAGGTCTTCCATCCGCTGGTTCACTCCCCAACTGGCCGCAACAGCTGGAGCTGTGCTGATCTGAAGCAGGGAGCCAGAAGCCAGAAGCCTCCTTTGGATCGCCCATGTGGGTGCAGGGGCCATCTTCTGCTGCTTTCCCAGGCCACAGCAGAGAGCCAGATCAGAAGTGGAGCAGCCAGGTCTCGAAGTGGCACCCATTTGGGATGCCAGCACTGCAGGCAGCAGTATAACTCAGTATGCCACAGCACCGGCCCCTATACATCTTTTTAAAAATTCAGCTGGTTGGCCGGCACCACGGCTCAATAGGCTAATCCTCCACCTGCAGTGCTGGCACACCGGGTTCTAGTCCCAGTAGGGGAACCGGATTCTGTCCCGGTTGCCCCTCTTCCAGGCCAGCTCTCTGCTGTGGCCAGGGAGTGCAGTGGAGGATGGCCCAGGTGCTTGGGCCCTGCACCCCATGGGAGACCAGGAGAAGCACCTGGCTCCTGGCTTCGGATCAGCACGGTGTGCCGGCCACAGCAGCCATTAGAGGGTGAACCAACGGCAAAGGAAGACCTTTCTCTCTCTCTCTCTCTCTCTCTCTCTCTCTCACTGTCCACTCTGCCTGTCAAAAAAAAAAAAAAAAAATCAGCTGGTTGAAATCTTCAATCATACAGTCAGAAAATATGCCCTTACAATGACTACAGCTGAGGATGGGCACCTGGTCTAGCATATCATATTAGGGTACCTGAGTTCCATCATACCTCCTGGTTCCAGCTTCCTGCTAACATGCACATTAAGGAGCAAGCAGCAAGGTAGCTGGAGAGTAAGAAGCAAGAGGGGGCAGGGGGTGGAGAGGATCGTGGGGCAGGCAAGTACCAAGTCAGTGATACAATCAGGCAAGTGATACAATCGGATTTTTTTGTTTTTTCTCTTTTAAACAGATCCCTAGATGCTACTTGGAGGACTCACTGTAGAGAATGATCATGAGGAGACCAGCATGGAGGCTCTTTATGTGTTTCAGGCACATGGTGGTGCAGTAGACCAGGGTGGGAGCAGTGGAGATAAAGGATGTTACACCCACCCTTAGATTACACAAGCATCCCCCAGGACCTATGCCCTAACTAAGGGGTAAAAAAGTCTGACTCTAAGCCAACTTCACTCTTCTGGCATTGCAGTTACTGCCAAACAGCTTTGCAGTCATCACATAATATCAAGCAGATGGAAGAATTGTGGAAAGGAAACTGCACGATGTTCTAAAACAAAGTCTCTCTGCCCCATTGAAGCACCACCCCTGATGCCAAAAAATATCATAAAGTAACATCTGATACTCTGCTGTAGCCATCTGCTAGCTTTGATACCATTCATTTCCATCTTCTTTCCCACCTGGGAAAATAAAGCTAATTTTCCCAATTTACCATCATCTATGAGCTTTCAGCATACTTCCCAAACCCCCCTTAATTATCCTCTGCTTTCAGTGCTAGCCCAGCCCTGGCTGCTGTTGGCATTTGCCAAGTGAACCCTCTTTTAGATGAAATTTCCCAATGTCCAATCTAGAGTTTCTTGAGATAAAAGCTCCCATCTTTGGATCCCTGTGATTTCCCATTGCAGCCACAAGGAAAAGCTCCTGATTAACTGTTGAGTCGACTTCCTCTCTGATGAAAGACTGAATGGCTCCTGCTCCCATGGGCCTGGTGTTCAATTCACGGCTGCTTTATGACTCATTGATACAAGTTTTATCATTTTTTTTCTTTTTTTGACAGACAGAGTGGACAATGAGAGAGACAGAGAGAAAGGTCTTCCTTTGCTGTTGGTTCACCCTCCAATGGCTGCCACGGCCGGCACGCTGCGGCCGGCGCACTGCGCTGATCCAAAGGCAGGAGCCAGGTGCTTCTCCTGGTCTCCCATGCGGGTGCAGGGCCCAAGCACTTGGGCCATCCTCCACTGCACTCCCAGGCCATAGCAGAGAGCTGGCCTGGAAGAGGGGCACCCCGACCAGGACTAGAACCCGGTGTGCCGGCGCCGCAAGGCAGAGGATTAGCCTAGTGAGCCATGGCGCCGGCCAGTTTTATCATTTTTACTCAAGTTGAATTGCATGAATACATGTGGGTATATTCCATAAATTAGTTCATACAAAATTAATGCACATACAAGAGACCAAAGGTCTTGTGACTCTTCTATAACGAGTTTGTTCAATAACTTCCAAATGGAGTCCAACTGCTTACTGACAAGTATGCATTTATAAGTTTGCATTTATAAGTATGCACTTATAAGCTGGTAAGAAAGGGGGAAAGATTCCCATTATCATATCATATACACACAATCTAGTGAGGAACTGCTTAAGCTGTGATAAGTAAACTGTTGTAATGTCAAGTCTGAATGAAATACCAATGGATTCTTAAATATATTCACTTATCCATTCCTATGCATACATATAAAAACAAGGGTACTTCAAAAGCTTATGGAAAAATGAATTTTTAAGTTGATTGTGATATGAAAAATTTTTGAAATCCATTAATAGCTTTTTCAAAATGTGCATTTTCTATGAACTTGTGAAAAGACCACTTCTATAAATATATATACATGTACACACAAATTCTTATACACACATATATACATAATAACCTTTTTAAAAAAGATTTACTTATTTATTTATTTGAAAGCCAGAGTTACAAAGAAGGAGAGGCAGAGAGACGAGATCTTCCATCACCTGGTTTACTTTCTAAATGGGCATAATGGCAAGGGCTGGGCCAAGCCAAAGCCAGGAGCCAGGATCTTCATCCTGGTCTCCTACATGGGTGTAGGTGCACAAGCACTTGGGTCATCTTCCACTGCTTTCCCAGGTGCATCAGCAGGCAGTTTGATCAGAAGTGGAGCAGCCAGGACTCAAACCAGAACCCAGATGAGATGCTGGTGCTGCAGGTGGCAGCTTTTACCTGCTAAGTCACAGCACCAGTAATCTTTTAAGGCAGGGAAGAGAGCCAATTTTATTGTGTTTAAAGATTTTTCTGGCAATACTAACTTAGCAACGTACATATTACTAGTTCTACCAATTATAATAAACTCTTTAAAACTCAAAAGGTAGTAACAACCTTCTAACATAGATTTATTTGTCAGTTGATGTTCACTTCTTAGTTCATAATTTGCTACCATCTACATTTTTTATTTTCAAGTTTGCCTTCTTTATTTTCCCCTTTCATATGATCATCAGGTGTCAAGCAGTCAGTATCTTGTGCTTTATTTAAATAATACCCAGTTTCCGGGTTTCTCAAATGCTGACTGTTGCTTTAAAATATTTCAGGTTCACCTTAAGCTTTGAGGAACACTGATAATTAATTTACCAAATATATGTGCCTAGTTTTCCATTGACCTCATGCCTTAGTGTTCAAAGGATTCCACCTCATACTTAGGTCAGACTGACAAACCTACAGTGTGTTTTCTTCTTTATTCTCTTATGAACAAAAGGACTTGGCTTCTTTTCTTAAATGTCTACAAAGCACCTTTTCAACTCCATGAACTGATCAAACAACTTATATAGAAAAACATGAACGCACATACAACTGAATATGACTTTAAATAGCCATCTTTTCCCATTGTAATCCATAAGTCGTACTTTGGAAATTCATATTCATTAAATAAAAGTTAAAAAAAATTGCCATCTTTTCTAGGAAATTTTATCTCCATCTGAGACATTTTATTTATTTTGGCTCACATATAACATATAAGAAAACTTAGCTGACGAACTGATATACTTCCCAACTATATTACGTGGTTATAAAGGACAGTAACACAGAGCCTAACTGGGATGAGATTCTGATGCTACAAGTAACTGAACCAGAATCAGCTTGATCAAGAAATCTGGGATCTTTCCCTCTGAAAGAGATTCAAAGAAATGTTCCATTTGCCCACTAAGAATAAATTCCATATGCTTTGGTTTCCAAGAGATTAGACTAAAACATTTTGGGTTGACTTCTTTTTCAGTGACTCATAGTCCACACCAAATTTGGAACTTTTTTCAACCTATATGTCTTTTTCTTTCTCTTTCTGAACTCTCTAAAATCAGTTTACAACTGTGAAAAGGGAGAAAAGCATTAACTCCTTCAGCTTTCCAGTAAACTGAAAGGCCAGCCATAGGACCTGCAACAGTGGATTAAGTGTTTTTCTAAAACCCTGCCACAAACTTTTAAAGCTCTTTTAGGGTGGGCATTTGGCTTTGCGTTTAAGACATCACATCTTTTATCAGAGTGCCTGGGTACAAGTCCTGGCTCCAGCTACTGACTCAAGTTTCCTGCTAATGCAGACCACGGGAAATAGTAGTGATGGCACAAGTATTTGGGTTTCTGCCACCCAAGCGGGAGACCTGGATTGAGTACGTGGCTCCAGTGTTCAGCCCAACCTGGACTGGACGTGTGCAGGCATTTGGGGAGTGAATCAACGACGGAAATGTGTCTCTGTGTGTGTTTATCTGCTTGTTGAACCAAAAAACAAACCACAGAAAAACTAACTTCCTTTTAAATGTGTTATCAGGGGAAAGATTACAATACCCAACACATAGGAAGAAGGGCAATCCCTAGTAGTCCACAGCACTGTGGCGGGGTGACTCTTGTTCACAATAAGCTACTGTATACTTTACGAACAAACAGCAAAGAGGAGCTTGAAGGCTCTAAATGTTAAGTAATGACAAGGAGAGGGAAACATTGGTTACTCTAATTTAATCAGTGTGCAGTGAATTCATGTACCCAATGATCACACTATGACCGTAAGTATATACAATTAAACTAACAACCTAAAACAAGAAAACAGCACAATGTTTTGACTCACAAAGTTTTGCTTTGGCAAGACATGGCTGGAATGTGATTGTAAAGGGCCAGTTTTACCTTGCACTGTTATCCAAACACAGGTATTCCCGTGGGTCAGCAGCACTCGAGTTGGTTGTTTTGACACCTTTGTCAATAAATAAGCCAGCCTGGGAAATACAATAATACACTGAAATGAATGGGAGTACCCAGGAATATCTGCAGATATAATGATTCATAAAATTGTTAGTTTATCATTTCTACCCAAAAAGGTGGTAGAAGGAAGACAAATGGTAAGCAAAGGGACTGAGACAAACAGCTATTTTCCTGATGTTTTTATAATCCCACTCAGTCATTCAACACATACTTATTTAGTGCCTACTATGTAGTAGTCATCCAGTGCTCTACATCAATTAACAGAGAAACATGATCCTTGCCATTGCCAATACAACAACTAGTGGGAAGACACCCAATTAAGTAGGCAATCACAACCCAGCACTAGAAGCCTATGAGAAAGGACACCTGATGCTTTGGCAGCATGATGCTCTGTTCCTGGGAGAGAGCAAGAGGAGTCAAGGAATGTCTCCTAGCAGAAGTGACCAAGGCCTACACTTGAATGATGGGGAGGCATTCACCAGCAAATGGATGGTTAGAGGCACAGGGCAGCAGAAGGGTGGGAAGCAGCTGAAGAAACCAGAGAAAAGTACTCCAAGGAATACTCTGGAGCTGAGAGGGAGCACAGACCCCAAGCATGAAACACTAGATGTACGGAGGGAGGAAAAGTAAGGAAGAAGGATAAAGAGGAACAAAAGACACAGCGCACAGGGCTGACATAGTACCAGAGTAAAGGTGGCGGGAATGTAACAGAGGCATCCTAACAAACTGGATTTTAGGAAGAAATGAAAAAACACAGTAGCTACAAGACAGATCATGGATTGAAAAGGAGCCAAGGGGTGGAGGGGTAGGAAGGAGGCAGGAGGTGGTTTCAGTAACCAGAAGAAAATAAAGGTTACCTGGACTTATGGGAGAAGCAACAGAGGAAATTAGACAAAGTGAGAATTCCTTATGAGCTACAATGGATTATCATTTAATAATAAAATGTCTGGCCATGAGGGAAGAGGGCGCAAGGAAAGCACATATATTTTTGGCTTGGGTAACCAGGTGACTAGCAGTTTTCACTCACTGAAACAGACATACATGAATAGGTCTGCGCCTAAAAATAAGTTATAAAAATAGTTTTGAGTACATTTTATTTATGTGCCCATGAGACATTCAAATGGTACTCAGAAGGCAGTCAGGTAAACATGACGGACCTGGACTGGAACAGGTTTGAGAAGCATCAGCAATTGAAAGGATCGTGTGTGTGTGTGTGTGTGTGTGTGAATTAACATAGGCGTGCACAGATTATGAGTGACCCAGGAGGGAGCCTTTCTTTTTAAAGGCTCCGAGAGTTCAATTTTCTTTAGCTCTAAAGTATTATCCTGCACAGTCATTCCCAAATTAAAACCTAGTTTTCTACCCCATTATTTAGATATAATAATCTTACAATTCAGAGTAGATTATTACATGTCTTCATGGTACAAGACATTAAAAAATTAATTAGAACAAAATGCATTTTATGCCACTTATAATCTGAAAAAAAGTGAGGATTTCTGCTGTGAAATGCCTCTGTATGTAGTTACTAGCCTCTTCAACTGTTCTGCTCACAAAAATCACATGCTTCATCAAGTTATTCAAAGCTCTTTAAATCATAGTACGTGTAAGTGTTAAAGGTTCCTCTGAGTACCAAAGATGGAAAGCATTAAGAGAACCTTGATGCCAGTCGCATCAGGGTAAAGAATCCAGGCACCAAGCTGCTGCTGTGAACAGCAGGTTACGCCACCCCTTGCGAAAGTGGCCTCCCATATCAGAGTGCTGGTTCTCTTCTGATCCAGCTCCTTACTAATGCCTCTGGGAAGGCAACAGAAGCTGGCCCAAGTACTCAGACCACTCATACCCACTTGGGAGACCCCAGTGGGATTCCTGGCTGCTGCCATTGGCCTGGCCCAGCCCCAACTACTGAAGCCATTTGGGGAATAAACCAGCAGATAGAAGATCTCTGTCTCTCCTCTCTCTGTCAAATACAAATTTCAAATAAATACATTTTTAGAAAAAGAAAAGAAGAATCCAGGCATTATATATAATGAAAATATCAAAGTCCCTGGGTATACAAAGCAAATCAAATGTATTTAACCCCAGGGAACTGGGGAGTCAGTGTCAAATATAGAAACTGGAGCCTCTAAAATGGCCTTTAGGTTACTTGATCTCTCATTTAAAATTAGTTAAAATATTCCTAAACAATATTTCACTATTAACGTTTATTAGTATTAAGTGTCTTAAAGGACATTCAACCAGCACTGTGACTACAGAGAAGAAAGAACGGGTTTCCTATCCTCCAAGAGCCCAACAGCAAATGTGTACACCCCTAGAAACATGTCCAGATGCTGCAGACTGGCAAGGTGAGCGAGAGGGCAGAGGGAAGCAGCAGGGACAATATGAGGACCTATGCATCGAGTCCACTGCATACCTCAGACATGTGTGCACATATGCTGGGCATGCCTGTATATAAACAGAAAGCTGCATAGGCATCAGAAACAGAACAGTGGAGGTGTCTGCTAACTCTCTTTTTTTTTTTTTTTTAAGATTTATTTATTTATTTGAAAGGCAGAGTCACAGAGAAGCAGAGGCAGCCAGAGAGAGAAAGGTCTTCCATCTGCTGGTCCACTCCCCAGATGGCCACAATGGCCAGAGCCAGGCAGATCAGGAGCCAGGAGCTTCTTCCGGGTCTCCCACGTGGGTGCAGGGGCCCAAGCACTTGGGCCATCTTCCACTGCTTTCCCAGGCCACAGCAGAGAGCTGTATTGGAAGTGGAACAGCTGAGACTTAAACTGGCACCCATATGAGATAGGGGATGCAGGCACTGTAGGTGGCGGCTTTAACCGCTAAGCCTTAGCACCGGCCCCGATGTCTGCTATTTCTCATCACAAACTACTTTCTCTGACAAGTTCTACCAAAACCTGACATTGCTCAGTTGTAATCTACTATCGTGTGAAGAGTCCTCCAAAAAGGATGTGTTGGAAACTTAATCCCTAAGTCGACAGTGACCCCATTGGAAGATGTTTAGGTTGTGAGGAGTCTACCCTGATGAATGAGTTCATGCAGATTATAAAAGGCTTCGGGCTGCAAGTGTGATCTCTTGCTCTCTGCAGCCCTCTCTTTGTCCTTCTGACATGAGATGACACAGCATACAGGATGATGCAACAAGAAGGCCCTTGCTACAGGCCAAACCCTGGGTCTTAGACTCCATGGCATCCAAAACCATGAGCCAAATGAACCTCTGTCCACTATGAATTACCCAGTGTGTGGTGTTCTGTTGTAACAGCACAAACTGGACTAAGACGTAATCACAATACTCATCTTGACCACTGTAAGTGATATGCACTGATTGTTAAGGCTCAGGAACCTACCTTAAAGCTCGAATGGACCCTGTTGTTATAAAATATACCCAATGGAGTGAGCTCTGGTTTTGCAAAAAGCTGTAATCCACTCGATTCCCCAGTAGGTTCCTTGTGAAATAAATACCATATTCCAGCATCCTGTAATTGAAAGAGTAGAATCATTAAAAGCACTGTTTCATGAAGCCACTCTATGAATCATCCTTAGAAATCTAGCTGCCGTGCGAGTTCATTTAGTCTTTTGAACATGAGTTGTGTCAGCTTCAGAACCGACTATAAAAGTTGCCCACACACCTAGCACCCTCAAAGTGATTATTTCATGCATTTTTTTTCAAAAAGATTTTGAAAATTTTGCATGCAGGAGTGGACAAAAGATAGAAATAACTGGCTAGTAGCAAAATATACTTTCAAAACAACTTTCCTATCCCTATCTACTTTAAAATGTGGCGCCGAATTCAAACCAAGTCAGGCTTCCATGTGACCAGCACACTACTGCGTTTAAGCAATACGGTTTCTTCTGTTTACCTCCAAACCTGATCAATAGATGAGTCATGCCTATTAAACAGCCATCTGCCAACACGCAGAGCTCACTGACTTCTTTCAAACCACTCCAATGCCCTTCCTGTCCCGAGGCAAATTTTTGCCAAAGGAAAAAAAAAAAACCACCACATGCATGAATCAGGATGCTGTCTTAGTCTGGCCCCTGTCTGTTCAATGTCACTATTACTGACCATTAACAGGAAGGAACAGAACAGTTTAAATTTCTCTGACACTCAAAATGAGACATAAAAATGGATATAACAGCCCTTAATTCCTGTGACAATTTTTTACTTTACAATTAAATTAAAATCAGCCCAGTACGAAAAACCACTGTACAAGACTTTGATTAAACAGGTTGTTGACTCTTCAACACACAGTGGAAAAAAGGAGAACACTCATCCATATACTGCACACGTTCATTTAGTGCCCACTATGGGCCAGGTATACAGTCAGACTACTCTCATAGTCCACTGGAAAATACAAAGATAAGCGCTCTACTGGTTGTAACAAAGAGTCCTTTCTGGAGTAGAGAGGAGAGATGAACTGTGGGAAGCATATTTACCTACACCCCAAAATGAAGGCCATGTTTAACATTTTTCCTTGATAAAAGTTTACAAATGGGTCTTAATAAAATGAAGTGCTCTTTAAAACGTTGGCCACCTTCACACTTTTGGACACGAAATAGACTACTCAACACAGAATCAAAGGGTCAGCAAGATGGTTCCACGCCCTCTCCCTGTACACTGAGGGCACAGGGCAGACCCTTCCAGGATGCAGTGGAGTTTGGGGAGGGAATAGGAGGGTAGCCGCTGTTCCCTGCTAAACACAGTGGTGTCAACACAAGCAAAGGGAGCTTTGTCCAAGGCAGTGGAAAGGTACAATGAAGAAATCGTTTGATTTACTTTGGAAGGAAAACCCCCGCCAAACATTAGCTTTACTGGAACCGTTCTTCCAGAGAGAAAAAAGAAAGGAGTCTCTCTGTAGCCAGCAATAAGCGATGGGCATCTCTGGGGACAAGTGGCTCAAGTGCCACAAAACCAGAGGGAACAGAAAGCCCTTCCACAAAACGTGGAAGTACAAGCTGGGAAGCCCAGCTGCCACCACTAGGACTGGCCCCTCACATACACATGGTCCATGCACACGGAGGGGACACGCACGGAGGGGACAAGAAGTCTCTCCGAGGTTGCCCACGGAGAACTCCTGGAGCTCTGAGAAAACATGTAGAACAAGGATCACCCACATTGTCTAACTGCATCCAATACCCCAGCCCTGGCGAAGAGCTGCTTGGTGCCCCCCGACCGCACACTGTACAGGCAGTGGCACAAACCCCACCGCACGCTGCCCCGGGGCCACTAGCAGAGGCCACGTGACTCTCAAGGAGGAAGAGATTTTAAACAGAAAAGGATCAAGGGAAATAAGAAGAAAGGAAGAAGAATGCCAGAATCAGCAGCCTTGAGGAGGCGCAGTCCTAGCAGGGCAAGCTGGAGTGAAATGAGGGAGAAGCAGAGACGCTTTCTTTTCTCCACATGAGCCCTGTTAAGGCTATCTGGCACCCTAATCTGACGTTTTTCATGGACTTTTAACAGCTTAATTTAATCACCAGCACCTGACTTCTAAACAAGCGAGGAATCTTTGTTGACTTGTAACACAGATCAGAAGATGGGACCAGTAAGACTGCACATCAGCCTGTCTACGTTTATCCAAAATCTCACTTTCCAACTAGAAACTCAGCACAAGCGCCACTCAAGATCAACAAATATTTGATGGAAAATGAATGAATGAAAACCTGAAATAATCAGGTGTCCAGGTCTCTTCTCTGTCAAGTAAGAATCTTCAAGTAAAAAGAATATGTTTAAGAAATATCACAACTGTGCGGTCAACTCACACCCAATAGTGTCTGTATTCTGGTATCTTAAAGAAATACACCTTCAGCCAATCTTTTACTTTGTCCTAGGAAATAATACTAGGCATATCTTTCCTTTTTAAATTTTGAAATAGCTTAGATACATAGATATTAATATTTAGTTACTCTTACAATGTCCTTATTTTTGTACTCTAGTTTTTAACAGTTATTACTTTAATAGTGTAAGGTCTTAAACAATTCAATTATATTATAAATTAGCAACTTTAAATTACACTCAAGTATGAATGTAAATTTCTTCAGATTTATCTGGGGAACACGTCTACTATCCAAAATTAAATCATGTGTTATCTTAAAAATTATTTTCGTGTGTGTGTGTGCGTGCGCGCGCATGTGTGTGTGTGTGTACTAACAGGGCTGAGGAACCTGTTTTTTTCTTCCAAGACCCATTTGGATATTTACAACATAATTTGCAGGCCATACAAAATTATCAACTGGGGCCGGCGCTGCGGCTCACTAGGCTAATCCTCCGCCTGCGGCGCCGGCACACTGGGTTCTAGTCCCGGTCGGGGCGCCGGATTCTGTCCCGGTTACCCCTCTTCCAGGCCAGCTCTCTGCTGTGGCCCGGGAAGGCAGAGGAGGATGGCCCAAGTCCTTGGGCCCTGCACCTGCATGGGAGACCAAGAGGAAGTGGCTCCCGGCTTCGGATCGGAGCAGCGCGCCGGCCATAGTGGCCATTTGGGGGGTGAACCAATGGAAAGGAAGACCTTTCTCTCTGTCTCTCTCACTGTCTAACTCTGCCTGTCAAAAAAAAAAAAAAAAAAATTATCAACTTAAAAACTAGCCTGCTGTAGATTTACTGAGTTTTGAGGCCCACCTATGACTGCCTTGGCAGAGCCAGACCAAATGACTTCTCAGGCCTTTTTAGGCCCACGGACTGGACATTCTCCACCCTTGTCTTAAACAATTCAATCACATTTTTAACTCGTGGTATGTAGTTGGGGTTGGCTGCTTAAGTAAAAGATGAAATCCCCAAGTGCAGATGACCCTGTGTTTAACAAAAGGATGTGCCCCTTAATCAGCGTAGCAGTTATCATAGCATTCTACACAATAATCCATTTCCATAAAGAAAAGCTAAGGCTTTGTTCTCAAACACTAGAAACTGAAATGATCACTTGACAACACATAACTTAACTATAAGAAGCCAGAAAGACTGTACATAACACACTAAAAGTGCACCCCCAGAGAGGACATAATCTTGAAAGCAGCTCACCTCTTTCCTCCGTTTAGCATCTGTCTTACTAGACTCATGGACATCTCAAGCACATCCTGCTCTGAGCTAAACAAGCAGTACTAGAAGGAATGTCATACGTGGATCCCTTGGCACACCTGACATCACATCCACATATACCAGAGCATTTTTAAACATGAATAACACACACACACACACACACACACACAATCAACACACATTTCAATAGTACTTACCTGTGAGCCTGCAGCTGCATTATTAATCAGATTATTATTGGGGTGAGCAATCCAGAAAGTTGACACAGCCCTGCAAGGTGATTTAAACATTCTTCATGAGAAATCCTGCCCACTAAAATCCTCCCCTAAAACACCTACCCCGAAAGTCAACGGCCTTGATCATCGCACATGAGTGTTTCCCTCTGCCCAGTTACTCACATACAGTCAGTAGCAGGTACAGGGACATAATTCCCAAACACTTTATCCCGCATGGCAGTGCACATGGAGTTGTTCCTATCAGTGGGGAGGAGAGTTCCTGGCTTGGTGAGGAGTCCCAGATTGTGAAACAGAGTATTTCTCTGTTCAACACCATCTTCCAGAAAGAAACAATGACCCAGTGTGTCAAATCCAATGGTGTCTTTTATCTGCAGAAATACATGTGGACAATGTCACTGGTAACAAGATTAACTGTGAATTACAGGACAAGTGCTATTCAGTATAGCATGCTCAGTAGATATGCAAAGTGAAGTTTTAATTTTAGCGGAACAAGCAAAGTCGAACAGCAAGTTGTATTTACTCTAAAAGGTTAATTTGAGTGAATATAAAAGCAGCTTCCTTCTGAAGAAAAGCAGAATTCTCAGTCACAGAAGGATAGAGAAAGGCATGTGGGCAAACAGTTTACTTCTACAAAACTGAGAAGTCAAGAGATGTAAGGAGCATCAGTGCACGGGGAGGCTACTTACTAGCAAGCCATTGGTCCCATGCACAGTGATGCACCTGGAGAAGCTGTGATGGATAGACAGACCGTCCACGAACGTTGTGGGTCTGTAGCCCCCTTTGTAGTCCACATCTCCACACAGGTGGAAGTGGAGAGGATACCGCCCCAGCTGCTGCTGACCCATGTGCTTCAATTCCACATAAGAAAGGTGGACCGAAGTAAAATTCTTCCTTATCTATAAGACAGAGTAACCAAAATCAAGCTGACACTTTTTAGAACAAAAAAAGTAACAAAAATTTCTATTTTATCAGAAGATATCTGAAGGAAAGTGCAGATTAAAACATGCCCCTTTTTTTGCATCCTGTTTTTCTGGATTCCCAAGTTAATAATTTAGCAAATGCTTCTGTACACAGCAAATGCTTTACAGAGTCCTAAAAATAGCCTCCAATTAGGAATAAAAGTAAACATTATCAGGAAATCTGCAAAAAATGACTTCTGCACACCTGTCTTGATTTGTTGAAATATTTTGGTCATTCTAAATTTCTTTTTTTTTATGATTTATTTTATTTATTTGGAAGAGTTACAGAGAGAAGTAGAAACCAAGGGAGAAAGAGGTCTTCCATCTACTGGTTCACTCCCCAAATGGCCACAATGGCCAGAGCTGAGCTGATCAGAGGCCAGGAGCCAGGAGCTTCTTCCAGCTCTCTCACATGGGTACAAGGGCCCAAGAACTTATGCCACCCTCCACTGCTTTCTCAGGTGCATTAGCAGGGAACTGGATCAGAAGTGGAGCAGCCAGAACTTGAACTGGTGCCCATATGGGATGCTGGCGCTGCAATATGGGACTTTAACCTTCTGCACCACAGCGCTGGCCCGGGTCATGCTCAATTTCATCTTGCTCTTTCATTTCTATAACTTCCATCACAGTGTGATAGAACTTTCTTCCAAATCTTCCCACAATGCTTCACCACATGATATTGTTTAAGTTCTTTTCTAAAATTCCTCTAAAATTCGAAGTTTGAACACTCTCAATATTTTTAAAAAATGGATTTTCAGTCGTTTTACTAAAAACAAAGGCATGACAGTCTACCTAATGCACAAAAAAATCATTTTAAAACACATGTACCCAAAATGCAAGACCAGAAGCCCAACCTATTTATATACAGAATCCTGACTTCCATAACTGCTCCATATTTTTACACATAAATTCTGCACACAAAATATATTTTCACAGGAACATACTTTATATGCGCATACTTCTACTGCTTACCCTTTAGTAATATCTTGTTTTTAAAAAAATCAGTTGATTCAGAAATTGCATGCATAGATATGAAGATCACTTAGATTGTTATTTTGTTTTGTCTTTTTGGTTTTCTAGAACTGGTGCTTCCCAATATATTGATTTAATTCTCCATAAAACAATTCATTTAAAAAAAAAAAAGTTTTATTTTTTATTTGAAAGGCAGTTACAGAGAGAGAGAGGGAGAGATCTTCCATTCGTTGGCTCACTCCCTTAACATCTGCAAAGGCTGCAGGGATGTCAGGCAGAACCCAGGAACTGCATCCAGGTCTCCCACATGGGTGGAAGAGGTCCAAGTAGTTTGGCCATTTTCTGTTGCTTTCCCAGGCACATTAGCAGAGAGCTAGATCAAAAGTGGAACAGCCGGGACTCAAACTGGTGCCCATATGGGATGCCATAGCACTTAACCTGCTATGCCACAGCACTGGCCTCAGAAAAACTCTTAAATTGTTGAACTAAGTAAATAAATGACTTTCTCTTTCAGTTTATAAGACCTCCTTATCATTTGAAAGAGACATAAAATATTATTCATTTTTAATATCCATATACATCTCACGCCAAAACTTTAGTTTCCTTAATCATGTATTAAGGAGCAGTCATTTGGTGTAAACAGTTAAGACACTGCTTGGGTATTCCTTATCCCCTATCAGAGTACATGGGTTGGAATCCCAGCTCCACCGTCAATTCCTGCTTCCTGCTAATGTTCACTCTGGCAGTCATCAGCTGATGGCTCAAGTGCTTGGGTCACTGCCACAACATGGGAGACCCATATAATTTCTAGCTCCCAGCTTCAGTCTGGTCAAGTCCCAGCTGATGTGGGCATTTTGGGGAGTGAACCAGAGGATACAAGAATTCACTCTCTCCTCTCTCTCACTCTGCCTTTCAAATAAATAAAATAAAATGTTAAAGAAGCAAAACCTGTATTTAGCAACCAGGATTTCAAAGCAATCATCAAATCCTTTCACCTACCATGACATGTCCCCCAAAGGTATCATAATCAAAGAACTGGCACTGGTTTTCTGCGTAGCACGAATCCTCCATCTCTCCTTGGATCACAACATTTCGGGTGAGAATTCCAACCTCAGCTCTCATGTCTACACCATCTATGATCTCACCCATGTGCAGGAACTGAGGGATTTCTGATTGATAGGAGCAAGAGGAAAAGAGCATTAGAACAAAGGAAACATGAGACTTACTTGAAAAAGATACTTCTCTTCTTTCTATAGCCCCAAGACATCGGTGACAATTTATCATCTGTTCTTTGATATCTCAGAATCCCAGAAAACAGGAATTGAAGGGATGATCTTGATTACCTTATCCATCCACCCACCCCATGCCTACAGCTTCACCACCAACTGTGCTGCCAACTCTCAAACCAGGACTGACACAGAATTTGCTTCTTCCTGAAGTAGCTCAATCCTCCTTCAACCAGCACTAATGATCTGGCATCTGTCTAAAAATCCAAAATCTTTCTCTCTAGTTCCTGTCCGTTTATTCTTGTTCTATTCTCCCCACACCTTTGAAGAACTAAATGAATGGCAAGTCCAAAAAAATCAAATGGTTTTGATAATGTTTCTAACATGCAGTCAGATTGCTTGCATTCACTAAAATCATCTGCATTTGGACAGTAACAGTACAGAAATTACCATCGTTTCTTTCCCACTTCTTATTTTATATTATTTAGCATTCCTTGAAACTCCCATCTTTCCTGGAAATTTAAAAGCACTTTAATCATGAGCTTTTTCTCTGATGTTCATGTTAGATACGGTCAGGAAGGAAAAGGACAAATAACCCATGGGCTGTAAGTTCATGGAATTCATTATCATACAGAATTGTTAGCAAAAGTGAGAATTAGCAAAAAAAAAGGATTAATGCCAGATGGTGTCAGTCTGGGGGGTTTTGTTCTTGCTGAGGTTTTTGTTGTTTTGTTCATGCTCTGTATCAGCAAGGAGGAAAAATCAATGCTGAACAACCCTGAATAATCACAGAGAAAAAGTGTCAAGTAAGCCAAGCACCCTAGGTTTTCCGAAGCAGAAAATGTTCCCTTACACTTCAAATCTCTAAATTACTAAAAAAAAAAAAAAAAAAGTGAGCACTTAGTGAACAGTTACTATAAATGCTATCATTTTATGCCACACAAGTATAATCTTGAGTACAGAAGCAAGGACAGCAATATAATGAGTAGAATACACAAGGAATCCCATAACTGAAGCAATGTCCAAGCATCTGCTTACATCAGGCTCTGTGATTGTACTTGGTAAATGCCAGTAACTCTTTCCATACACAGCAACAGTAAGAATCTCTTTTGTATTGCCCTCCGTCAAAAATTATCATTCAAGATTACAGTATGTAACAGGAGGCTAAGACTCCACACACAGCTTTCTTCATAATCCACATTTTCCAGGAGCTTTTGGAAGCACCCTTATATAGTCTTATGAAAATACCTATTTGGTTTCATTTTAAGTATTAGTGAAATCAACTTTTTGCCAACCAAGTAGACACTTAAAAATCATTGAATTTTTTAATCCTAGTTAAGGAAGACTTCTGTTTTAAAAATAGATGTAGTTGACAGTTAAGTTTATTATTACCTAAGAATAGAAAATTAATAAGGAAGAAACAGGAAAGGACCTTGGGAAATCAATTCATCTAGACTGTATCTTTTTTTTTTTTTTTTTTTTAAGAAAACTCAGGAACAGAAACACTGCTTTGCCTGCTACCTATCATTAACAGCAATAATACTGCTAAATAGCTACTTTTCTCTGGAATCTAGTGTTCAATGAACTCTACTAAGATCTTCAATATGGACGATGGTGTTAGTGGTGGTGGAGACGATGGGAGGTGATGGTGGGAATAGTAATGATGATCATCATGGTGATGGCAGTGGTGGTAATGACAGTGATTAAGATGATGATGGTGGTGAAGAACGGGAGGAAAAAAGACAAGAATCCTATCCCTTGAAAACTCTGTGTTTCCCAAAAAGTACTCGGAACAATTGGGTACCTTTCACTTTGACTTGAAAGCGACTGCACTCGGGACAGGGCAGAAGAGTGAACTCTTCAGCCTGGTACATAGAATAGTCTGTGCTTGCAACCACAATCTGGTCTCCAGGTTTCCAGCTACTAACATCATCCAACAGATGAAGCTTCACTCCATCCGCAACCTCTACCCGGAAACCTGAAAGAGAAACACCTACAGCAAAAAAGAACAGAAAAAAAGATGCATTAACAGGACTTTAAAAAAAAAATCCACTCACTGATTCAAAAATCAAAATTTAAGATCAATACTATTCAGCAAATGTTTACAAATGTTAATCATGTGCCAGTCCCTCTGAAGATATGAATGATAAAATCACTAACATGTACATCCCTGTTTTCAGGGGAAGAAAGTCCCATGAACCCCCATTCAAGATGAAACAAGACATCACTTTAAGTAAAGATCCTCATTTCAAAATCTCTTGTGCATTTCAACTCAGTGCTAAAACTATTACTGTCCCCGAACCATCTTACTCTGTAAGAACATATCACATTCAAGCGTTCTGTGGCCAAGCTCAGAATAGTCTGTAACAAATACGGAGTGTTGCAATTTGATCCAAATGCAGGACAGGAACTAGGACATAGGCAACCTCAATATTAAGAATGAAAGTCTGTCTCAGGAAATCCCTTACTTTTGTGCCTTTGTTCATGCTTTCTTCTTTCCTTTTTTCTTACCTCACAAACAGAAATTTGTCATAATTCCAGAGACTGGGAAGTCTAAAAATCAAGGCACCCACAAAGTCCGTGTGCAGTGAAGACCTGTTTTCTTATAAATGGCACCTGCACTCTTGGTTCTTACATGGTGGGAAGGCAAAGTCATGCTTTCTTCTTTACCTAGAATGTCATGCACGTATTTACCAACTAAGATACTGTCTACCTTAGTTTACAACTGTCAGAGGAATCTTTAAAGACTTCCCAAACATACTTACTGGAAGCAACCTGCCTTCAGTTCTTCATGCTATTGTTCTGGTATGATTCCTATCTTTCCCTAGGAGTCACATCACTGAAGCCAGCAGTGTTCACTACTGTGCACAGATACACAGATATCTGCTGAATGGATGAGCAGGACCTGTGTGATCTGCACTATGACCTGGGGTCACCTGATGGGGCCCCAGTCCAACTAAGTTCCTTTTCTCGGACTATGTAAATTATGGGATGTAGTGACTGCTAACAACTGATTGCTCCTAATATGCTCTGCAGCTCAAAATGGGCTCTCAATTAGGCAGACAGGAACTGAAAAGCTGACTCAACTTCTCTATAATTCACATGGTTTTTGACACAGCCAGTGTAGAAGCATTTCCCATCTCTACGATACTCATGACATGTGTAGAAGATATCATGAGCTAAAAGCAGATTTTATGAAAACACATATGAATTAGAAAAGCTGCTTCTTAACATTATTGAGGCCGGCACTGCGGCTCACTAGGCTAATCCTCTGCCTTGCGGTGCCGGCATACCAGGTTCTAGTCCCGGTCGGGGTGCCGGATTCTGTCCCGGTTGCCCCTCTTCCAGGCCAGCTCTCTGCTGTGGCCAGGGAGTGCAGTGGAGGATGGCCCAAGTGCTTGGGCCCTGCACCCCATGGGAGACCAGGAGAAACACCTGGCTGCTGCCTTCGGATCAGCCCGATGCGCCGGCTGCAGCGCGCCAGCCGCAGCGGCCATTGGATGGTGAACCAACGGCAAAAGGAAGACCTTTCTCTCTGTCTCTCTCTCTCACTATCCACCCTGCCTGTCAAAAAACAAACAACAACAACAACAAAAAAAAGAAAACCCCACATTTCAGATACTTGTTTAATAAATATCTACACTTCTCCATAATCTTTCTAATTAACAGCACACTGCCCTAGGACTACTTTTTAAGATGCTTACTCTAAGGGAAAAAGACATGAGTGAAGAAACACATTTCCTTATGTTAGAGGAATCAAAAGCAGGGGAATTCAAGCAAGGAATAAGAGAGATCTGCTCAGTCTTGATAAAACCTGACCTGAGAAAATCTTGGATTCTGTTTAGACTCTATCCTGCTTTTCTACTTCTGCAAAGTATACACCAAACGTATGTGGCTTTACTTTTTTTAATGTTCTTGGCAACCAGTCCCTAAAGCCTATAACAGAATTGTATCCAAATAAGGCCGGCGCCGTGGCTCACTAGGCTAATCCTCCGCCTAGCAGCGCCGGCACACCAGGTTCTAGTCCCGGTCGGGGCGCCGGATTCTGTCCCGGTTGCCCCTCTTCCAGGCCAGCTCTCTGCTGTGGCCAGGGAGTGCAGTGGAGGATGGCCCAAGTGCTTGGGCCCTGCACCCCATGGGAGACCAGGAGAAGCACCTGGCTCCTGCCATCAGATCAGCGCGGTGCGCCGGCCGCAGCGCGCCGGCCGCGGCGGCCATTGCAGGGTGAACCAACGGCAAAGGAAGACCTTTCTCTCTCTCTCTCTCTCTCTCTCACTGTCCACTCTGCCTGTCCAAAAAAAAAGAAAAAAAAAAAAAGAATTGTATCCAAATAGTAATATTAATAACACTAGCAACTGTAACAATGGTTAACAGTGGTTGGGACTTCCCATGTATAATAACCTTTAATCAAAACAACTGTGAGAAAAGTTGATTACTTATTAGAAGAAGGCAAAAGTTCAGAGAGTTTGAAAAATAGCTAAAAAAAAATAAAAAAGTAGTCTGTGCCTTACAAATATAAGACTTTAAAAATAATAAATGGTAGAGCCTACAACTGAATGTTATCAATTTTCAGAGCTCATTTTCTTAATCTCTATTTTTAATGCCTTCCCAAGAACCAAAACAGGCAGGTCAGGAACCAAGATAGGAGCCAGCATTGTGACATAGCGGGAAAAACCACTGCCTGCAACAGCATCCCATTTGAGCCGGTGCCAGTTCAAGTCCCAGCTGCTCCACTTCTGACTCAGCTCGCTGCTATGGCCTGGGAAAGCAGTGGAAGATGGCCCAAGTGCTTGGGCCCCTGCACGTATGTGGGAGACCCAGAGGAAGCTCCTGCTTCCTGGCACTGCAGCCACTTAAGGAGTGAGGCAGCAGATGGAGACTCCTCTCTGTCTTTCCCTCTCTTTCTAACTCTTTCAAATAGATTTAAAAAAAAAAGAACAAAGACAATGAAAAACCTCACTTGAGTAACAACAAGCACTACTCCAATTTCAGGTTTGTACCAAAAGAAGCAAAATCCTCTTAAAGGAGACAACTAAAGCACACTGTTTTCTTTTTTCATGTAAAATGTCAACAATGCTCTAAAAATAAAAATGACTACTAGATAAACAAGTTTTGATTTCAAAGATCACTGATTTTGTCTCTTTCTGTTAAAAAGTCTGAAGATCAGATGGGAAAGATTTGTACTATTCCCTAATCGCTCATTTTTTTTTTTTTTTTGGCTTTATAAGAAAATCTTGCCTAAGATGACTTCCCATTAGCACTACTAAACTGGGAGGATGAAAGGAAATAAGTTCATTCTCCCTGCTTCCTGGAGAACTTCCACCCCTTCCAGAAAGGAAGAGTCACAGAGGACACTGGGCACAAGACAACAGCCAATGACAGAGAGCTGGCGCAGACTCCCTTCCAGAAATGAGCAGTCGTCAGCAGCGCTGAAATGAAGACAACATTTCCCACAAAGGAAACATGAACTGCCCGTCTGTCAATAATTCTCTGCCTGGAACCTCTCTGGAGGCAGGACCAGCGAATCTATTGGAAGGCCCAAACTCCTGGCAACGATTGCTTCTCATACACTAAGGCTATGTGCCAGAGGCAACTGTGGTGTGCTAGGAATGCCAGTTATGCTTCATGCACAAAGCAGGAGCTGGGGTCCAGACTCTTCATCCAGAAACAATACCATTTCCTCACTCCCAAACCCAAAAGGTCACGTGGAAGCAACATTTGCGAACCAGGAACTCCACTGGTTGGCTTGTTTTTACACAAACGACTTTCTCTGTTTAGTCACAAGGATATAAAATATTTTTTTTAATCCAAGATATGTTTACATCACCATTAAAATAGCTAACACTAGGACAGGTGTTTGGTATAGCATTTAAGATGCAACTTGGGACACCAATATCCCATATTAAGGTGCTTGGTTGGAGTCCTGGCTCCTCTGATTGTGATCCAGCTTCCCACTAATGCACACCTGGGGAGGCGGAAGAGAATGGCTCAAGTACAGGTCTCTGCTACCCACGTGGGAAGCTCCTGGCTTCAGTCTGATCCAGCCCTGGCTGTTGTAGGCATCTGGGGAGTGAACTAGGGGATGGAAGAGCTCCGTCTCTCTCTGCCTTTCAAATAAAACTAATACTGGGGCCGGCACTGTGGCGCACTAGGCTAAGCTTCTGCCTGCTGTGCCAGCGTTCCACATGGGCCCCAGTTCATGTCTCAGCTGCTCCTCTTCTGGTCCAACTCTCTGCTTAGGCCTGGGAAAGCAGTAGAAGATGGCCCAAGTACTTGGGTCCTTGCACTCACGTGGATGGCCCAAGTACTTGGGTCCTTGCACCCACGTGGGAGACCAGGAAGAAGCATCTGGCTCCTGGCTTCAGATCGGCTCAGTTCTGGCCGTTGTGGCCACTTGGGGAGTGAACCAGCAGATGGAACACTTTTCTGTCTCTACTTCTCTCTGTCTGTAACTCTACCTCTCAAATAAATAAAATGTTTTAAAGAAACAGCTAATATTTATTGAGTACTTACTATATGTATGCTAAAAACTTCATATTCTTCACATCTGAAGTGCATAGCAGCCCAACTGGTTAGGTCAGTTGATATCAAATCAAGGAAACAAATCCATTTCTATTAGCTAAACACACTTATGACTCAAGAACGAAGCCCAGGTGGGGGTGTTTAAACTAGAAGAACTGGCTTTCTAGTCTAGAAAGGACCCTTGAGTCTATAAGACACAGAAGTTTCAACTCACTGGCAAAGAAATCTTATCAGACTGCCAACTGTTTGAATTGAGACTTTTTTAAAAAAAAAAAAGAAAAATCACAACACTTACCAGTGTCTTTCAAGATTATAAACCATACTTGCCTACCTTCAATCCATTCACTATACGCCGTCACGGAGAACTTCTGCCCATCCACAGTATAAAACTCTCGCTGGGCAAGAGCCTTCCCACCACTGCTATGATTTTCATAGTTTCGCACAGATTCATTGCAAGAAGTACTTCCACCATCAATGACACCAACTAAAGCCCAAGCTTGCCTGGAGGGAAAAACAGCACGTGCATTGGATTACTGGTCAAGGCTCTGACACAAACCCCTCTCACAAATGTGACAGCAGGGTGCTGCTTAAATATTTCATTTCTGCTGATCCTAGGTCTCTTTTTCCAAACATGGTGGCAATTCCAAACCCTCAAATAACTGAGGTCGTAGAAGGAAATACACGGTCTGTACTGTGCTGTAACGAGTGAAGCACCAGTGACTGTGTCTTCAGGTAATCCACGACTTCCTTCGTTAGATGTACCCATCTCACTCACATATCATTCTGACAAAACCACTTAAAGTGGCCATCAGATGCTCTACTTTAAACTATAGCCTCTCTGTTACAAAAATCTATCAAAATTTGTGGGAAAATGGAATTAAAAGGTTTATTTTGGAAATCCATGCATAGTTGTTTAATAATATGCATTCTCCACAAACTTTCTGAAGACCCCTTGTATGTATTAATTTAAATTGTTTGGGGGCCAGCACTGTGGCACAGCAGGTAAAGCTGCTGCCTGCAATGCTGGCAACTCATATGGATGCCAGTTCAAGTCCTGGCTGTTCCACTTCAGTCCAGCTCCCTGCTAATGTGCCTGGGAAAGCAACAGAGGATGGCCCAAGTGCTTGGGCTCCTGCACCCACATGCAAGACCCAGAAGAAGCTCCTGGCTTGGCTCCAGTCTGGCCCAGCCCTTGTCGTTGTTGCCATCTGGGGAGTGAGCCAGTGGATGGAAGATTTCTCTGTCTCTCCCTCTCTCTCTCTACCTCTGCCTTTTGAATAAATAAAATAAATCTTTAAAATAAAATTTTTGTAGCAGGGGCTAACATTATGATACCACTGGTTAAGCCACTTCCTGCATCCCAAACGAGCACTAGTTCAAGCTCTGGCTGCACCACTTCTTATCCAGCTCTCTGTTAATGTGCTTTGGAAAGCAGTGCAAGATGGCCCCCACACCCCTGTGCAAGACTCAGGTGGAGTTAGTTCCACACTCCTGGCTTTGGGCTTACCTAGTCCTGGCTGTTGTCATCATTTGGGGAGTGAAGCAGTGGCTAGAAGATTTTTTCTCTATATCCCCTTCTTTCTCTAACTCTACCTTTCAAATAAATAAATAAATAATTTGCATCAAAGTAAATTCCTTTAATTCCACTTTCCATGACCTTTTCAAAGTACCCCCTCTAGACCCACAGGATAGCAATGAGAATCCCTAAAGGCTAGACCCAGCATTACTATGATTTTAAAGTTCTCAGCTGATGGCCTGACATTTGGCACAGCATTGAAGAGATTGCCTGTGACACCTATACATCCCGTGAGTGTGTGGCGGCCATACTTCCAATTCTGGCTCACTGCTAATGGGAACCCTGGGAGGCAGCAGGTGACGGCTCTAGTACTGGGGTCCCTGAAACCCATGGAGGAGACTCAGATTGAGTTTCCAGCTCCTGGCTTTGGCCTGGTCCATTCCTGGCTGTTGCAGGCATTTGGGGCATGAACCAGCAGATGGTTCATTCTCTGTCTCTCTCTCTGTCTCATTTCTCTGCTTTTCAAATAATTTCTTTTAATTTATTTGACAGGTAGAGTTATAGACAGTGAGAGAGAGAGAGAGAAAGAAAGGTCTTCCTTCCGTTGGTTCACTCCCCAAATGGCCGCTATGGCCGGCGCTGCACCAATCCGAAGCCAGGAGCCAGGTGCTTCCTCCTGGTCTCCCATGCGGGTGCAGGGCCCAAGCACTTGGGCCATCCTCCACTGCCTTCCCGGGCCACAGCAGAGAGCTGGACTGGAAGAGGTGCAACCGGGACTAGAACCTGGCACCCATGTGGGATGCCGGTGCCACAGGCAGAGGATTAACCAAGTGACCCATGACGCCAGCCCCTCAAATAAAATTTTAAACATATTTCTACAGATTGAAAAATAAACAACTTCCCCCAGATAATATGAATATGTAGTCAGACCTGAAAATCACGTGTAAGCATCAGAATGACCAGGAGGAGAGGATGGGTTAAAGCAGGCTGCTGGCCCCACTCTCTGAATGTCAGTGGTGGTACCAGGGAATCTGCATTTCTAAAGAGTTCCCAAAGGATGCTACTGCTGCTGGCCAGGGGAACATACTTTTGAGAACCAGTACTTAGAGATTAGCAGTTAGAGGGATAATTATCAACCTCGATAGCACTGTGATGGTCTGGGGGTTCCAAGCTTTGGGAGCAGACCCCCACCTAAGGTGGGCCCCACCAACAGGAGGTGTTGAACTCTGCAGGTGTGGGGGGAAGGTTGAGAACCACTCAGTTACAGGTTTCTTATGCTTAAAGCTACAGAATTGCTGTCCAGCAGGCTTTTGGTTTTACATACTACACGTCTATTCGCTGAAAGCAGTATGTTTAAAAACACCATTATGCTTTTGTAATACTAAAAGTCCCAAAGGATTTGCCCAAGCTTGCAGCCTAAATCAAGGAAAATGGAATATAACAAAAAGCCAGAAAATTTGCCTGTAGGCTCCTGGTTCAAAACATGAAAAGAAAAATGTCAACATCCTACTTTACGGGGAAAAAAAAAACCACCAAAATTAAATGTAATCTATGCCAGACAGATGGCTGGATATTCACAGACAAAAGTGAACCAAGGCACGCTTACACCCTCATAAATTCCAGAGCCGCCCCTGTGTGGATTAGCTACTTTTTGGCTAACAATGCTTTCTGGCTCTATTCATATCCCTTAATATAGGAGAAAGGATCAAATAAATACCATCTCAATTTATTACCTCCTCTATGAGAGGGGAAATATCAGAGGCTTCCTTTATTTACCAGAACTGCCTCAGCAACTGTAAAACAATGCTCCCTTCTATCGACATTATCTCCAAAACACTCCTACTCCCCTCCTCCACTTCAGGACAATTTCAATGCACTGGAACATTATCTTCAAAGGGGTATGTGTTTATGTACACTGGAGATAATGTCAATGCAATGGAACGCTGGCAAAAGACCACACTCTCAACTCCTGTCACATCAGTGACAATATCTGAAAAGGAATTTAGCAACCAGCAGGGAAAGGAACCAAAGAAGGTCAAAGTATTCACAGCTAATGATCATGCATATCTAGAAACAATAATGGCATGAAATAATAGAAGCCGTAATTCGTAGCATTAATGGATGATAAAACTAAGTATGTCTTTCCCTTTGAAAAAAAAAAAAAAACTATTTCCATTCCTAGGTTTATAAATTAATAAAAACATCTGCCTTTGTGCATCAAGGGATGGATAAAGGAATATTGAGACAAGCATTTCTTGTAATAGGTCTGGACTGGAAAGCTACTCAGATGTCCACTACTAAGCCGGGGTACAGTCATACAACAGAAAATGAACAGCAATGAAAATGATTCAGCATTCCACAGCACAAAGGGCACTCAGTAACATCACGCTGGCAGAGAAGCCAGACATAAACTGTCTGCTTCCAGTCACATGAAGCTCAAGAACAGGCAACTTGAAACTTCGGTGTTATCCCACAGACTCGGCAAAGAGGTTACCTGTGGGGGGAGCAGAGTGCTTAGTGTTTAGTAAGGGCATCCAGGGGGCTTCTGGACTGCTGACCATGTTCTATTTCTTGACCTCACATGGATCACGCTGTGACAAATCATTAAGCTCAACATACACTTTTCTCTGTATGTATCAGATTTAAAAAAAAAAAATGCACTCTGAGGTGTTGTACATGGTAGTCTCTTGTTCTAGAAAGCCTCCCTTCTCCATGTGCTACAAAGCACACTCCTAAACTTCCTGCAGGTCTCCTGCCTTTGGAAACTTAATCTGATTCCTTAGGACAAGTTATGGCTCTTTCTACTTAGGCTCCTGTAACTGCAGTCGCACTGTGTGATCATCACCTGCTTCTATCTCTTTAGCCACTAGATTAAATGAGCTAGCATTTAGCCTGGTGGATCAGGCACTGGATATGATGCTCACATCCCATATCGGAGCACCTGGATTCGATGGCCAGCTCCCAACTCCCAACTTATGCCAGTGAGAACCCGAGAAGGCAGTAAAGACTGCTCAAGGAATGGGGTCCATGCCGCCTACTGACTTGAGTTGCTGGCTCTTGGCTTTATGGGCACTTTGGGAGTGAACCAGCAGATGGGAACTTCCTGTCTCAAATAAATAAAAAAATTACAAATAAAAATAAACAAAATGACTCAGTGTCGTTTCATCAAAGCATTTACAGGTACCCAATACTTAGCATCTCCCAATTATTCCCTAGGTGAATGAAACACATTTGTAAAATGTTGCAGACCCTTCTTCATCACTAATTTTTGTGTTCTTACCCTACTTTTGAATTTGTGTAGACAGTATTTCATTCCAACAATCTACCATCAACAGAAAAAATTACTAGACTATTTCAACATGTGGGTTTTGAAGTCCTCTTACTTTCTCACAGCAGATAATCTCAGTTTCATTAAGAACATTTAGCAGAAATAAAACTTCTGGTCTTTGAATTAAATGTTGAACCAGCTACTTTCCCTAGATACATGACTGCATTGGGAAATCATGGTTAATTACAGTATGACACAAAAATCATAAATAGTAGAAATAAATTCTATACTATCTGGACAAGCTGTCCAACTTTTTCTTTCCTTAATTCTGCCAAGATTCCATAGACCTGCACCAACCAAACAAGTAGATTTAAGTTAGCATTCTAGGGTTTCAAAAAAAAAGAGAAAAAAACTGCATGCTCTACCTTCTTGGACTTCTTTTTTTTAAAGATTTATCTATTTATTTGAAAGGCAGAGTTAAAGAGAAGCAGAGGCACACACACACACACACACACACACACACAGAGAGAGAGAGAGAGAGCTTCCATCCACTGGTTTACTCCCCGAATGGACACAACAGCCAGAGCTGAGCCAATCCAAAGCCAGGAGCCAGGAGCTTCTTCCAGATCTCCCATGCAGGTGCAGGGGTCCAAGGACTTGGGCCATCTTCTACTGCTTTCCCAGGCCATAGCAGAGAGCTGGATGGGAAGCAGAGCAGCTGAGACTCGAACTGCTGCCCATATGGGATGTCAGCACAGCAGGCAGCAGCTTTACCCGCTACACCACAGGGTACCTGCCAGCCACCCTTTTTGGAATTTTAAGACAGGTGTTTCATCTTGCCATGGAATCTTGCACTAACAGTTAAAATCACAGGTTGCCTCAAGTAGCTTGAGTTTCCTTTTCTGCACAGGCAAATTGCCCTTCAACTGCCTGATTGTTTGGATTTTTTTTTTTTTAATATTTATTTATTTATTTGAAAGGCACAGTTACAGAGAGGCAGAGAGAGAGAGAGAGATCTTCCATCTGCTGGTTCACTCCCCAAATGGTCACAACAGCCAGGACTGAGCCAGGTTGAAGCAAATAGCCAGGAATATCTCTGTGTCTCTCCCATGAGTGCAGGGGCCCAAGTACTTGGGCCATCGTCCACTGCTTTCTCAGGGGCATTAACAGTGAGCTGGATCAGAAGAGGAAAAGCCGGGACTTGAACTGGCACCCACATGGAATGCTGGTGCTGCAGGCAGTGGCTTTACCTGCTACATCACAGCTCCACATTTTCACAAGCCCAACACTCCAGTTTATAAAGGACTTCACAAACAAAAGCCAAGACAAGAGCTCTTATGCTCCAAATCCTGTCCTCCAGTCCCACGAAAGGCAACCAGTCCTAACACTGATAGCTCCATCAGCTTTGAGTCTTGTGCTTTCCTTCCCCACCCTCGTTCTCCCCTCTCACAAAGACTCCGAGACGAGACAGAGCTGGGAGGGAGAGACAAGACTCCTACCTGTAACCCAGTCCTTGGATCAGCTTGCTTCCCAACCGGTCCTGAATCACCTGGATTGTTCCTGGTAAGAGGCTTTTGGCTGCTGAATCTCCAACAGCTATGGCAACAATCCGCCCTGGATCTTGTAATCTCAAGAATTCTTGAAGTCGCCGACTCTCATTGTGGTACTCATGGGTATCAAACTTCACGTTGTCCAAAATTTTGGCCGTGTCTTGGTCAATGACCCTCACATTGAGGCCCCGGGAAAAGTCCTTCTCAAAGGTGTAGGACCCAAATGGCAAGCCCGAGGAATGCAGCGTCCTCGCCAACAACGTCCATGTTGTCTTCTGTGCCCCATGGAGCTCCAGTGTCCCGCCAGCCTCCACACCGATGAACTTTTTGCCAAATGTTGGCAGATTTTCACCTTCATCTGACTTGCCATACAAGGCAATGGTCGCTTTGGATTTATAGCGGCATTTTTCTGCTCCAATATGAAGCGCCCCACCATCCTGAATCAGGATGTAACGAGTCCTCAAAGTAATGTTTCTGGATCCATCTTTATCATCCCCAAAGACAAGAAGTCCTGCAGGGAACAACACGATCGTAAGCCAACTTCTGAAATAACTTCCTGAGATACAAAGAAGTAGGGTGGGGGGGAAGTACACTTCCACAAAATTAAATTGGGAAACAGAATTTACTATCTGTCTCCAAAATTAAACTGGCTTCCAAAACATAGTAAAGGAAAAACATGAGGAGCTCCTATCTCCAACATACTAAAAATGCCTGTGAGTGTGAATCTCAATCCATTCACTTTAGAGGTAAATCATTTCTAGAAAAATATCTGACAGTCTACACATCTGAACCACGTGTTTACTCATGAGAGTACTTCAAAAATCTTCTTGGAAAACAGAATTAAAAGAAACTTCAGAGGTGCCATGTGACCTAGAAATCAGGCTGCTGGTTAGGAGCTCATATTCCATATCAGACTAGCTGGGTTGGAGCGTCTGGGTTCAATCCCAGCCCCAGCTCCTGATTCTCGTTGCCTGCTGTGGCACACTCCAGACGGGCAGCAAGTAATAACTTAGTAGTTATGTCCTTGACTCCAACAGGAGAGACAGATTCCAGCTTTGGTCTGGTCCAACTATCGTGGGCATTTCGGGAGCTAACTAGTAGATAAGGGCTTGCTATCTCTGTCTCTGTGTGTATCTGTTTCCCAAAAAATACTTTATATATAAAAAGTTAATTTTTTACAACAAATGTTGAAATCCATGCATAATTTTTTCCATAATACACATTTTTCATGAACTTTTTGAAGATACCCCCTGCCCCGATTTCAAAATTGTTCATACCAACATAAATTCCATTTTCCAGGAACTTTTCGAAATTCCCTTGTATATTAACCTAAGTTAACTCTCTCCTCACTCTCCATAAGTTGTTACAGAAATTTAGGAATGAGAGAACAACTCTCTGGAGCTGCTGTTTCCTTCTCCATAAATCAAGGGTCTCAACTTGAATAATTTCTAAGGTTTTTTTTCATTTCTTGGATTTGGGGGAATTTTTCATATCCATGGTTAGAAAATACACCACACACTAAAGACTATTCAACCTAAGAACAGTTTCTGTATAAGGAACATTGACTATCCTCCACACTGAAGAGTAACCTTGAAGTTCCCGTAAGCAGAGACCATTACCTACCTCCATCCTGAATGACTATAGAATTCACCGTGACATCTGAGATCAGACGGAACATATCTCCCTCCTTAATAACAATGTGTTTTGTAGAATCTTGTCCTGGATCCCAGTTCCTGAGACGAGGGTTTTGATCTGGACAATTCTCTATAAAATAATACAACATTTATCTTCCCTCCAACCCAACAAGATGTTAGAATACTGTTAGCCAAATACAAACTCTGCACTTACATGTTTTGAGCTCTTGCCATGAGGATGGAAATTCTCACCTTCTCACCTTCCCTCTGCCCCCATGGAAACATCAAATCCTTTACTTTCACAACACTTAAAAAAAAAAAGGGTCCCCACAAAACTGAATTGCTAGCATGTAGTTTGAGTCAAACTTCACTAGTGAAAATGGAGTTCCCTTGACTCGTCTACTCTGGAAAGCAATCAATAGTAAGAAGCAGAACGATGAAGTGTCCTTGGACACTCACTGGAAAGCTGTTTCAGGAAAGAAAACATGTTTACAACATATTGGCAAGAAAATGGAAATTGCTAAAAAGTGTATTTGGTCTTCACAAGTGCCTTCCTATGCACAGCAGACCTAAAGTAGGTGCCGACAGCAAGGCTTTCCCAGGCAGAGGCTGAGCCACAGCACGATCCCAGCCGTGGGGACTTCCCAACAGAACTGCAGCAGCCCAGCAGCCTCAGCCATGACTTCTCATTTTCAAAGATGAGGAAATGACAGAGAAGCCAAACCCAAGACTACTCAGCAAGTTGGGTGACTGCAAGTTCCCCATTTATGACATGAGGATCCTTACTACAGTCTTTCACTAGAATGAGAATCTGCTACTCGAACAGATAAAAATGAAACATGAAAGTAGTCTGCATTCCTGCAACTATTCAACGCATGAAACTTTCAGTTTCTGCCATAATTTAGAAGAGGAGGGGGGGGAAATCACACCTTCAGTTTTGACCCACTAATGACCAAGCAGTTCTTGAGGATTAATTTGTCCACTCTGTATTTGGTACTGTAACATTTACAAAGAATAAAACGAACTCACATTCCCTCAGAGGTTATAATCTAGCCACCGTGTAAACAGAATCAGAAAGAAGAAGAATGGGGCTGCAGTAAGTGAGGCAGCTTCCTGGAATCAGTGACACCAACTTAGACCCAAAGGATGAATAATACAAGAAATCTTCAAAAAGCCCATGGAAAAATGCATAAGACGAAAAAGTATGCATGGATTTCAAAATTTCTTTCCACAGACTAGTATCTTTTCATTCCATTTTTCCACAAGCTTTCTGAATGATCCTCATGTGTAAATAACAGAGGGACACGCAGGGAAGATACGAACAGGAGTCATGCAAGTATCCCTAGCTAGCTAAGTCTACTGGGCTGCTCAGAACAGCGATGTGTTGCCTGTAATTCAAACGAAGTAAAGGGACAAATAAGCAAGACTTGCCAGACAATCTTAAGAACTAAGTACCTTTTGTGAAGGTAGGAAGTGTATACTGTGGAATGACACGAGAAAAGAGTAGGGAGATGGGTTGTGGCACAAAGATCTGATTTTATACAGAAAAAAAATATTCTGACTCCTCATTTTGTAATTGCCTAACACAGATGCTAACATCTTCCTATTTCCAAGCACTTACGTTGCCCTAGGCCTGTGCTTTCTCTCTGAGGTGTTAGTGACTACAAATAAAGTCAGTCTAGCCATTTCTGTTTCAGGCGGCTAATTTTTTTCACAAATTTCATAATCATTGATATTTAATTTTTTGTGTTAAACCAATGCCTATAGCCATTATACTAAAAATAATCCATAAACTTTTCTTCTAATCAAAGAAATAAGAATCTTCTAAATTTATTATATGCATTGAAGATTTTTTTATTATTACACTAAAGTTTATTCTCATTTTTTAAAGGTTTATTTATTCATTTTTTATTTAAAGGCAGAGAGAAAGAGAGAGTTCGATCTTCCATTCACTGGTTCACTCTCTAAATGCTCATATGCCCACAACAGTCAGAGTTTGGCTAAGCCAAAGCCAGGACCCAGGAACTCCATCCAAGTTTCCTATGTGGGTGGGAAGGACTCAAGTATTTAGCCCATCATCTGCTTCCTCCCAGGAAGTGGATCAGAAGGTAGAGTTGGAATTTGATCCCAGGCACTCCAACATGGAATACAGGCAACCCAAGCGGCAATTTAACACCCTGTGCCAGGATGCCCACCCCAATACCAAGGATTTCCTGAACTTTTCTTCTACCACCTTCTTCCTATAAAACATCTAGCAAGAATTCTCCATGATGTTATACAAGAAGCAAATCAATGTCCCATGTAACAAGCACTGTATCCAGCTACAGAAAAGGAGATCCAGTCTTCTGAGATGCAGAGCCTATTACCATAGTTACATAATTCCTCTTAATTGTTTCTAATTATCCCTCAGGAGACATGCCTCATTAGAATCACCACCAAAAATTCTGTTTCCTTCCAGGAAGGCAGAGTTAATGAGAAAATGCATGGTCTGCAGAAAGCACTAGAAAACAGCCCAGTCAGCCTCACCTTCTTGGCTATCCACTTGTAGACCAGTAAGTGCATCTGTAATGGCAGTAACCACAGTGAGGCTGACCTTGAAATATTTCAACATAGCAGATCTTTCCACTGATAATTTACACGTACATTGCCAAAATGTAAAACTAAAAACTGCTGATTCAAGGAACCACATCAGCAACTCAACGCTTTTCATGGACTAGGAAAACAATGACGAAAGCCACAGATTTTGGCTCTGATTTCTCCTTAGTACTACCATGCCCTTGTTAAATTACATGGGAAATAAGAACAGAAGCAGAGAAATTGGTTATTCTGCTGGGAAAGGGGCCCACAAAGTCAACACTACTTGCAATACAAATCAATTTCACAAATTCATAATGTGGTCTACCAGCTAGGTCAACAAAGATGTTGATAGAAACATATCTTGTACTTCCTGTCTATTCTCTTGGAAGTGCTTACACGACCTCTTCCAGGATCTTAAAAAAATCTACAAAATGCCTAATGTGGGGCTGCACTGTGCTCTAGAGAGTAAAACTACCGCCTGCAGTGCCAGCGTCCCATATGGGCACGGGTTCGAGTCCTGGCTGCTCCATTTCCAATCCAGCTCTCTGCTATGGCCTGGGAAAGCGGCAGAAGACGGCCCAAGTCCTTGGGCCTCTGCACCCACGTGGGAGACCCAGAAGAAGCTGCTGGCTCCTGGCTTCAGATCAGCTCAGCTCTGGCTGTTGCAGCCATTTGGGGAGTGAACCAACAGATGGAAGAGCTCTCTTTCTCTGCCTCTAAGTCTCTGTAACTCTGCCTTTCAAGTAAATAAATAAATCTTTAAAAAATCTAAAGCACCCATGAAAATTTAACAATATTTGTAAGTCTTATAAGTGGTAAAATGCTTCTCAACTACCATATTTCATTTAAGGTAGCATCTGTTCTAACAAAAATCTGTTGTATACTTTGTAAAAAATTCAGATGAGGTGAATGCTGTGGCATAGCAGGTAAAGCCACCAGTCCATAAGGAACGCCGGCATTCCATACAGGCACCAGCCAGTTCAAATCCTGATTGCTCCACTTCCAATCCAGCTCCCTGCTGATGGCCTGGGAACAGTAGCAGAAGATGGTCCAAAAGTTTGGGCCCCTGTCACACATGTGGGAGACCTGGAATAAGTTCCTGGCACCTGGCTTCAGCCTAGCCAAGTAACTCTTTCAAACAAATAAATAAATCTTTAAAAGCTCAAATAAGATGCCCAATACAGATTGCTAGGGTCTGTCTGATTCTACTTCCCTGAGCCCTCTAATTTTTAGACTGATGGTGTTCCTTTATGAGGAAAATGTTTTTTGTTTTTTGTTTTTTGTTTTTTTTTTGGACAGGCAGAGTTAGACACAGAGAGAGACACAGAGAGAAAGGTCTTCCTTTTCCGTTGGTTCACCCTCCAATGGCCGCTATGGCTGGAGCACCGTGCTGATCTGAAGGCAGGAACCAGGTGCCTCCTCCTGGTCTCCCATGGGGTGCAGGGCCCAAGCACTTGGGCCATCCTCCACTGCACTCCCGGGCCACAGCAGAGAGCTGGTCTGGAAGAGGGGCAACAGAGACAGAATCCGGCGCCCCGACCGGGACTAGAACCCGGGGTGCTGGCGCCACAGGCGGAGGATTAGCCAAATGAGCTGCAGCACCGGCCGAAAACGTTTGTTGATATCAGACTGAGGCTAACTGGCAACAAACTTCTTTGAAATTATTAAAAGTATTGATATCAACCTGAGAAGCAGACCATTTCAGAAATACAAATTTCCCTACATGACAATTAATAATGAAATAATGAGTAATTTATGCACCAACGTTTAAGAACTCATACATCCTAATGGATGTTTGCCTTCAGGGATACACACAGTTACTCAGAAATATTTGAAGTTTCTCATTTGAAACGGTCTTTCAAGTCCATTTTAAACCACAAATCTCATTTTTCAGTCAATTAAAAAAAATCAAATCTAGCACTTATAACTGACAAAAGAAAACAAACTTCTGGTAGCCCAAAAGTCATACCTACTCTTACAAAGGATCAAACTGTGCTGCCTCAAGACTTCAGTAAATATTTAAAAGCATCTGCAGAAGTTTGGTGATGTGGTTATGACGTCACTGGGGACACCCACATGCTCTACTTCTGATTCGGTTTCCTTCCAACACACACCTTGAAAGGTGGCAGGTCAGCTCAAGTTTTTGGGTCCTGGCCACCCACATGGGAGCCCTGGGATTCAGTTCTGGGCTCCTGGCTTTGGCTGGCCCAGCCCTGGATGTTGCAAGCATTTGGAGGAGGGAGCCAGCAAATGGAAGAACTCTCCCTGTCTAAGTCCATCTGTCTACCTTTCAAATAAATGAAAATAAATAAAAATTGTTTTTAAAAAGCATTTTTAAAAGATATAATCCAAGAGTGTAGGGACAGAATGTTAAATGGAAAAGAAGAACAATCCTTAAATTTTATAGTTTCCCATGAATTCCATGAATTGCTTTTATTCACAAGAAGTTACACCTCATACTAATTATGTAATAGTTAGCTAGAGCCAACTTAATACAGCAAATTTTCCCAAAAAGTTGCCCTATTTCCTCCCTTTCTCTTCTCCAAAAATCTATTCTATGTATGTACACATCCACACAAGCACATACACTTACCATCTGGAGCATATTTTGAGGATATTCCTAAAATGACTGCAAGTGCAACAAAAAATGAGAAACTAGTAACAGCAAAGCAAATGAAAGTATTTTTGTGTCTCTTGTGCTTTCGGCTTTCTCTCTGGTTTTGCTGTTCTTCCGGTGAGAATGCGAAGGTAGCCTGGGCTTCTTGTCTGACGGAGGTAAATTTGGCCGAAGCTTGGCTCTTTGGAGGAGGCGGGGGACGCAGGGGGACAACCTTCCCTGGAACATAACCAGGTGAGCGATGGCTGTTTCCATTCTGAGGCTGTAGGAATGCAGGGGAGTGGCCCCTGGAACCAGCGGCATTCATGATACCCTGTCACTCTGAAAAGAAAGACATTAAGATTCAGAATGTATACACTGTAATGGCTTTTTTCAGTATTTTTAAATTATGGTTAAAATATCCATAATGCAAAATTCACCATTTGCATTGTAGTTCAATGGCACAGAACATATATGCACAAAGTTGCACAACCATCACCAGTAACCATTTCCAGAAATTTTTCATCATCCCAGACAAAAACCCTATACCCAACAATTCCCCATCTGCTTGCTCTAGCCCCTGGCAACTACTGCAATTAGTTTTTGAAAGAATGAATCATCAACTCAGCCTTCCATTTCTGATATAAACGATGTCAACAATCTCCATCACTAATTGTCTTCTGATGCCACCGCCTCTCACCATGGCTGCACACTATAATCACCTCTAATACATTAATGCCCAGTGCCACACTGCAAAACAATAAAATCGGGAGCACTAAGCTTAGAATCCAAACATCAGCATCTTTTAAATTCTCCCCCAAAGGATTCTAATGAGCATCTGGGTTGAGAGCCACTCTTCTAAGCCAACTTTCTGCAAATTGTGTGTTACAATCACTAGGGGAGCTTGTTAAAAATGTAAATTCCTGGGCTCTTTGCCCCTGGGATTCAGGCTCAGAGAATGCCAAAAGAACCCAGATTTTACATTTTTTAAAAACATACTTGGACACCGAAGCAGGTGGTCACATTTTGAGTAAAAAGGATCTTCAAAATGTTCATGAAAAATGTATACTATGAAAAAAACTAGGTGTGGGCTTCAAAAATTTTTTGTACCCAAAAAACTTTTAATTCCAATTTTCTGTGAACTTTTTGAAGTATCCTGGTATCATAATTCTAAGTTCTTCAATCTCAAATTAAAAGTCTGTGTAGAGGAGGATCAAAGTGCAGTCTTAAAAAGTTCAAATAGATGGGCATTCATGTTTGCATGTTCAATTTCTCCACTATATTTATCCCCAGGCTAAGAAATGTTAAGTACTCCCACTGGCATTACCACTTAACTATAGACTTTATATAGTCATTCAATGAGAAAGTCTAAAGTCTTTCTCTCTTTAAATCCTCAAAGTTCATCTGACATTCCAACAACACAATAAGAACTATTTCAAAAATTAGCTATAAGAACTACATGCCACTAACTCATTTAATCTATTTAATACAACAAATCTATGAGTAGGGACCATCATCCCCATTTTATACATGAGAAAAACTGAGGAGCAAGGTTAACTCCCCAAAGGGGTCACAAAACTAGTGTAAAGAACCAGGGCTCAAAACCCAGGTGCTTTGGACTATATAAAGTCAAGTTAAAGCTCTTAACAGCCAGCGCCTTTCCAAACAACTGCAGGGCAACAACTTCAAAGGGTGCGTTTTGCAAGTGTGCAATTACAAGTGTGCTGAGCCTCAAAGGCAGATTAATCTTCTCAGGAATCCTTCACTCAGGAGTTCACCAGACTATACACGAGCCTTATCCAAAAGAAGCTCACTCACACACACACACACACACACACACACACACACGGAAGTCTTTTCATCTTTTATCTTCTTTATGGTAGATCCTTATAAGTTTTTGAATGAAAGAAGTTTTGAATGGAACCTTCCTATGCTGATTTTCAAAGGAGGAGGCAGGAGCCACCAAGCGCTACCACATCATGTTCTCATAGCAACAATGACTGTGGACAGAAACAATTGTGCTCCTTGGCTTTGGAAATGTGACAGTCAACCTCTCCCACCCTCTCCCTTCCTTACCAACTTAGACCAGAGTCACCTGACTTTATTCAATACACCCTCATCTTCCACCAGAAAAATCAACTCAAGTCAGTCCTGACAGCACCTCCAAATTATTCCCAGCTATCAACAACTTCAGCACAAAACGGTCATCAGAGAAGCCACAAACAAGCCTCCCCAGGACCCTAACGACCTGGAAATTGAAGTAAATAGAAAGGGCTCAGGAATTGATGCTGATTCTACATGGAGTAAAGAACCTGCTCAGAAGGGCCAGTGTTGTGGTGTAGTAGCTTAAGCCGCCACCTGGAAGAAGCTCCCAGAATGGAAGCCATTTGGGGAGTTAAGATCGAAGCAAATGAAAGATATTCTCTCTCTCTCTCTCTCCCTCCCTCCCTCTAACTCTGCCTTTCAAATAATAAAACTTTTTTTAAGGAAGAAAAAATGTTCTCAGAGTCCATGTTTCAGTCAAAAATATTTGGTTTGTGGGGTTTGACTTTTGAATAAATTATTTAGATAGAGCTTAAACTCCAAGACAAAGAGAAAAGATGCTATTGAGGACATTGCTGCATGTGCTAAGCTTCCAATCAAAATAATGGCTAGATACATGCTGCTGCAACCAATGACAGAGTACAACAGAGACACCTGGCCGGACCCCTAATAACAAAGAAAGCAGGAAAGTGGACATTCTTGAGAGCCAGGCTCATCAGGAGGGGAGTCTCTAGAGGGGGAGTCTTCCATTTCTCAGGCTGCAATCAGCTGACACTTCCTTGTTTCAGGGCCAGAAAGGCTGTTATTTCTCAAGCGGCTGGAGGGCCATTTTGCAGGAGATAATGGGTCACCAGATGTATCCACAAAGAAATGAAAAGTGGTGAGACTGGCTAAACGAAGACACCAGCCCACTGGGAATAATTGTCTTCTCATTCACAAAATGGTAACTTTACATGAAAATACAGATTGCACCTGCCACACAAACTAAAATAAACAATACATGAAAAATCATCATGGGTCTTTTTTTATCTATATAACCCTCTGTAAAGCAATTTAGGGAGAAAAAGAGAGAGACTCCTGGAGACCTATTTTATGGAAAACATGCAAATGCATAAGCAGAAACTATAATCATTCTTTGCCTTAGAAATGACATGTTATTGAAACACATCTTAGAATAAAACACTAATCATATTTTAAGTAGATTTCTCTCAACTAAGATTTTTAACAATGAGAGATAGAAATACATTGCTTTAGAAGTTCATCATATTTATAGATTTATTTTAGGTGTAGTATTTTGAATAAATTACTTTAAAATGCATTGATTGCTACTTACAGATGTAAATTTTTCATCCGGGAAAGTGGTATTTCACTCATTCAATAGCCAATTCTGAGATCTTGCTGTCTTTAAAGGCTTATGTTCAGAACTACAGGGGACAAAAGATTTCCAGTGTCCTCAAGAAATGTAATTCCTAAATTCAATTTTAAAGCATTTGTTTGAAATAGAAGGCAGAGTGAAATTAGCCAAGGAAATATGGTCAGATTTGCAGGCTATCTCAACACGGTTATTTAATCCACAAGGCTGTTGATACTTGCAGCATCTGTTGGATTTCAGAGTCCTGTAAATAAAGGAGGGACCTAATAGAGGGAAGACTGGGAGAATTTCCTCTTGCTTTCAATGCTTCAAGGCAAGCATTAGCCATCATTTCAATAATTTCACTACAGACTAATATTTCACTTTAAATACACTGTTTGCATTACATGGCATTCTTAAAGGATTATATTTCTGATGAGAGGCACATTATAAAGAAGGAGCACATCAGTATTTCATGATACATTTTCAGGGCTACTACAGCCTGAGATAGCCCCTCAAGCAAAACAGATAATACAGGTTGGGCAAATAATACAACTCACTCATACTGAAATTGGAAATGCACGCCATAAAGTTTTTGAAGCATTTTTTTTATATTTAGATGTTCCTCAAGATAATTATTTTGTAAGTATCTATTTCGTGGATCATAGCAAGTTGTAGGCCAAAAGGCTTGGTTATAATCAAGCTAGCAATTATAAATTTGCACAGGTAATTAAGGTGAATGTTTAAAGTAGACAATTAAAGAAATTACTAAGACTATGAGAACACTGTATTAATTTAAAAGACAAATTAAAAATTCTGGGAAAAAAACTTTCAAAAAAAGTACCTAGTATTTTGTCTAAAATATACCTTTTAAAAATCACTGTACTTTAAATTAAATTATTCTCTTGGAAGAAAAATAAATATATTACCTCAAATAGTAGCTCAAGGTGGAAGGGATCTGCACAGCATTCAATCAATTTATCTGGTAATAAACCATAGTAAGTAATTACAGAAAGCAATTATTCTGAAACTTCTTATATTAAAGGCGATCCTTTTTTAACCTATAAAAGGGGGCAGGATTTTTTAAAACTTGAAAATTTTTCATTTAAAATTTTCAGCCACTGCACTATCTCATCATCTGTAATATCTTCTCGGAATTCCGGGAAGGTCCCATTCTGTGTGTTCTTCCTTATACTGTTTAAAACTCATAGAGGATCATCTTTTGGTCTCATGTGTCAATTAATTCATGCATTTGTCCATCTCTTGCAATAGACTATCAGCCTCTTCAGACTGTTATCGAACTTCCCCCCAACTGGGTCCACATGCCCAACACACAGCAAGCCAACCACTGACACTGGGATGGAGGAAAAGGAGCACAGAGCAAGGAGCCAGGCAGCTGACACTCAATTCCTGGACTCCCTTAGAGACTAAAGGCAGTGAACGTTCAAGTTCAAAGTTGGTGATGAGGGGTTGGTGCTATGGCACAGTGGGTAAAGCTGCTGCCTGCAGTGCCAGCATCCCACATGGGCCCCAGTTTAGCTACTCCACTTCTGATCCAGCTCCCTGCTAATGCACCTGGGAAGGCAGTGGAATATGGCCCAAGTGCTTGGGGCTCTGCACTCATGTGGGAGACCTGCAAGAAGCTCCTGACTCTTAGCTTCAGCCTAGCCCAGCCCTGGGCTGTTGAGACTATTTGCGGAGTGAACTAGTGGATGGAAGATATCTCTCTCTCTCTCTCCCTGTCTCTCTCTAACTCTGCCTTTCAAATAAAAAAAAAAATCTTAAAAAAAAAAAGTTGGTGATGAGCAATGTGTTATTAGCTCGTGTGTGGGCCTCTGGTTGGAGTGCCCTTCCTTTGGTCAGTAACAGGGGCCGGTGTGTGCCCTTTGGAATGATAAAGGTGGGCTCCAATCTGCTGGGGTCTAATGTTAGATGGGATATTTCTTTGTTTCCTCTGGGCCTACGAATTCCTGCAAAGCTCTCAGAATCGAGGCTAGCACTCAGACCTGAACTATGTTAACTATAGGGGCAATGGAATCCCTTGCCCTGTGTCAGTCACTCCTCTAACTTAGTGAGTTAACCTTCACAGAGAACCTGAAAACTAAGGAAGATGACTCAGGAACATCAAAGACTTCTGAGATAGGCGGATTGGCCCTGAGATCAAGGGTGATATATTATTTATTTTGATCTCAGAGAACCTTGCACACAGTAAGTACTCAATAACTGACTTCTGAACTTAGTCACAAATTCTTATAAAGAAATTCAGCATAAATGCTAGGAGTGTGAGTGTGTATATAGCTACTGGGGAGAAAACAAATGATTGAAAAAAATTAGGTTCCCCTGGGCCAGTGCTTTGGCATAGTGGGTAAAGCCACCGTCTGCAGTGTCAGCATCCCATATGGGCACCGGTTCAAGTCCCGGCTGCTGCACTTCCAATCCAGCTCTCTGCTATGGCCTGGGAAAGCAGTGGAAGATGGCCCAACTGATTGGGCCCCTGCACCCACAGGGGAAGACATAGAGGAAGCTCCTTGCTCCTGGATTCAGATCGGCACAGCTCCGGCCATCTTGGCCAATTGGGGAGTGAACCAGATGATGGAAGACCTCTCTCTCTCTCTCTCTCTCTCTCTCTCTCTGCCTCTCCTCTCTCTGTGTAACTCTGAGTTTCAAAATAAATAAATATTTTAAAAAATTAGGTCCCCTTTCATTTAGCCATGCTTCGTTTTGTGTAAGTATATCCCCAATGAATCTGTTGAAGCACAGATTTTTTTTTTCTCTTTCTCTCTCTCACACACACATTGAGATTTCTGATGTATTCCTTCTCCAACATGCTTGTGGCTCTGGGAAATTGACTAATTCCTCTATATCACTTTCTCTGATTTGGGAGAGACTAAGAATACTATTTCAAGCAAAAAAAGCCAATGCATTAATTTTTACAAAGTTTAATCCGTATATGAAATCTAATGGGGACTAACAGGCATTATTAATAACTGCAGGTAGGAATTCTAAAGTTAAACAAAGAGCAGCAAACTACCCAGTTTTCACCACATACTATAAAATGTAGTGGACACGCAGGAAAAACAAAAACATTCCACTCCATCCTGAATGCTGACAGCCAAGAAATGATGTGATCTTATGCAAAGTCTTTATTCAGAAAGCAGCAGTAACTCAATACTAGCAAGGGCTCTTTACGAATAAAAGGGCAAGGGACTGGGTCCTGAACTTCTTTCTACTGTTGAGATACTAATATGGAAGGTAAGTTCACTCTCTCAAATGCCTACCACTTACACAGTGGCTGAGGATACTACTCCAGGGCCACGGCATCATTTCCTCAAGTCACCCAACCCTTCCAACCCATTGCCTAAGGGATACCACAGCCTGGATCAACACACATGCACTGAACAGCCAATAAAAATGCAATCCTTTGACTCATTGAAGCTCTTTCAAACCCAGACTATACTTTTTACGAGAATTTATTTTTTGAATGGAAAATCCAGACTCACAGGATTAGTCAAGAAAGCTGGTATCAGCTAATCAAGTCTATTTATTTATTTATCTACTGGATCAAGAACCTAACTTTTGAAACAATATCCAATGTAAGGGTCAACTGTACAGATGATAGTCTTTGTTTTCCAGCAGTTTTGCTTCAACTGGCAAAAATCTGGTTAAGAAAACTTTTCCTCTCATTAAGATCTTGGAAGAATCATATAACATATTGACTAGTATGTCCAACAAGTAAAAACATGCAGCACAACATAAAACAAAATATACAGAAAAAAGAGTGTGTATAAATTATCATGAAAACAAATAACAGGTTTTACTGTAATTATTAGTATCTCAGCCTAATAAATCTTTAACCAGCTCCTAACTGCCTTGAAATTCCCACTACCACCACCAATTTACTGGAGAGCCAGAAAGACAGCTCACAGCCCAAAAGGCTGCAAAGGCTAGGTAGAGCCAGGCCAAACCTGGGAGCCAGGAACTCATGCCTGGTCTCCCACATGGGCAGCAGGGACACAGCCACCTGAGCTATCACAAGCTGCCTGCCAGACTGTGCACCAAAAAAAGCTGGAATCAGGAACAGAGCCAGAACTCAAACCCAGGCACCCTGATATGGAATGAGGACATCCCAACTGGCATTATAACCATAAGGCCAAAACGCCTGCTCCCCTTGAATGTTCAACTAATGGCTCCATATTCCCAACGTCCTATTTTTTTAGGAGACACTACGAAGAACAAGATCAAGGTGATTTTCAGGATTGGGGGTTTTAGTTTTGGCAGGGGTGACGAGTGTTTTGTTGGGTGGAAGCAGGAGGTAGGGTGTTTTATTTAGTTCTACTTTAGATTCAGATTATGTTTTATAATAAAAAGTTGAGCTAAAAAGCCCTGACCACACAACATCATTCAATAAGAAATCAATTTAGCAAAGTTGACTTTTTGGCCTTTTGTTTCCCAAATGGTCAAATAAATATTTGTGTGATCAATATTCTTACAAAGACTATATACTTAAACACATATTATAAAGATTTCAAAAACAAAGGTAGAAGCAAAGAGTTTCATGGAAGGGGATCTTTTTATATGTAGTTTAGAGGAATGTATTATATATTCTATTCCCAGAGCACACAGGATAAATACGTTTTTCTAAAACAACCATTGCAAAGAATTCTGCATAAATACTAAGTTTCCACATATAGTTATTTAGAAGAAAGCAGATCTTTGGAAGAGCTAAGTCCACTGTCATGCAGAGATCAGCCTGACTTGGTGTAAGCACACCCTCAGAGAACGGAACACCCTCACACTTCACACAGGGTGATGCCTTCACTTCACACTGTTTGCATAAGGCACAGGCTCTGCTACCTAGCACTTCTCGGTAGGTCTTTCTCCCTCAACTCTCACAATCAGTATGAGTCACAATCACCTCTGTCTCTTGCACGCCACCAAGGAGTAAGAAACTTTGCGGTTGATGTATTACATTGATCCTGGTTCACTTTTATGAAGTTGAATGAACCTAGGCCAACATTTAGAGGTAGAACAAGAATGCCCTAATCCGTCATTATAAAACTCCCCTGCGTCAGTCAGCTTTTTGGTACTGCCAAACAAAGAGAAAAACCAACCTTTAGAGAATTAATAGAGTGAAAAGGTTTTCTTAGCTTACAGTTTCGGGGTTCAAGTTAAAGCTCAGGCAGCCCCACTGATTTGGCCTCTGATGAGGGCGGCAGAGTGCATGCAACCCAAAGACCACGTGGGGAACTCCGGAGGCACAGACAGCTTTTATGTCGACTCTCTTGCAAGAACCCAAAAGGTCAGACGAGAACTATCTTCCAAACGCACGCACTCACTGACCTAAGACCCTCCTGTTAGGTTCAACTTACTAATGGTTTTGCCACCTCAAAACAGCGCAACCCCAGCGACCACATCTTACCACATGGACCTTTTGGGGACACCCAAAATAAAATATCCAAACCACAGCATCCCCCTATGATGTGAAAGAAGACTGGGGAGCTTTCATTAAATCCCCCTACTTGCTTTCTCCACTTAACCAGTGTAGGCATTTTAAGAATGGTATTCCTAAAAGTTAGACCATTGTTCTATAAAAACTTCAACATACCCTAGACTTCTAGCATAAGACCATGTACTCTTCACACTATTTTCTACCTCAAAAAGAGAAATTATAAAGCACATTTCAAATGTATAGTCCTAGAAAGATAAAATTTATTTGAAAACAAATAAACCAAGTAAATACATTTCAATTTTAAACTTAAATAAGTGACTTTCAAGAAACATTTTTAATTCAATCTTATATTGTCACTTGTACTAGGAACATGAGGCACATGGCTAACTTTTCTGATATCAAATACACTAACTAACCCCATCTTTCTTCAGCTCTGGTAAACATGTCCATTATAACCAATGTCTGACCCTAAAGTCAAGATAGGGGGAGGTGTGGTGGAACAGTGAGACAAGCCACTGCCTGCGATGCCCACA